TTGAAGCACTGGACCCCGTCTTTGCTGCGGAGCTTGAGACACACATGACCGTGCACTCCGCACGCATGCCTTACAGCCATGAAGGATATATAAAAACCGGCAGTGACAAACGCAAAGGTATGAAAATCCTGCCCAACGACAATGCCTGGGACACTCAGCTTCATCCTTTGGTACGCACCCACCCTGAGTCCGGACGCAAAGCTTTATGGGTTAATCCGGTTTACACCATCGGCATCGACGGTATGGGAGAAACCGAGGCACAAGCTCTGCTGGCAAAACTGTTTGAACATTTCCTTAGGCCAGAATTTATCTACACACACAAGTGGTCTGCGAATATGTTAACCATGTGGGATAACCGCTCAGCCTTACATTGTGCCCAGGGTGGATACGATGGCTACCAGCGCGTGATGCACCGCACCACAGTTGCTGGAACGGCACCAGCCTGACCCAGCGCTGAGCCAGGTTCACCGCTCGCAAAAGCACTATTTTTGTGCAACAGTCTTGCGCAATAAATACGATGATTTCGAGACCATGACCCAGCGCATCACGCTTCTAACCCTGCTTTTCAGTCTGCTGTGCACCCAGGCGGTTCACGCTGTAGATGAGCAATATCTGCCACGCGATCTGCGCAGTCGCATCGAGCAGTTGAAGCTCGACGTGAATCGGGTGCCGACCAACTCAACCAACGCCGACGCACGTGCGCGCCTCACCTGGGAGTGGATCAACGCCTACGCTGTCAACGGTGGCTATATTCCTGTTAACAGCACTCAGATCATAGCCAGGATTCTGAGTGAGGATGACAAGCGCCAGAACTGGTTCAGCGCCCTGGATGCCACGATAGCCGAATTCATTTTCCTGGACGAAAACCCAAACGCGCTGGGGCCGTTAGAGGCCACACCCGGACCTTTCACAGCTGGGGAGATGGATACCATCACGCAAACCTACACGGTAGGCGCCCAGGATATACAGACAGGTGGCGGATTTCTTATCGCACGCCATTTCATGGCGAACTTTGGCACATGGCAGGCCAACGACCCTGCTGCAGACCACTACATCAGCATCAGCAGCAGCAACTCACGGGTCAGATTTGTCACCACTACCGCCCCGATGAGTGGCATGCATGGGGGCTTCCGCAATACGCGCGCGACACTGCTGTTTAGCGTTGCTTCCGGGACTTTGTCAGAGGGAGATATTGTCACCATAACCTACGGTGATCGATCAGGTGGCAGTCGTGGTTTAAGCATGCCCTCTTTTGCCAGTGACGCCATGCCCCTGCCTATCTACCTCGCTTTCAGCGATGACGCGCCCTACTACAGCCTGCCCATTGCACCTATCCAGATCAATGGCAGCAGCATTGATGGCGTTGCAGGATTTGCACCTTCTATTGTTGCACCTGGTGAACCTTTCACCTTATCCCTGCGCGCCCGAGACCGCTTTTTTAACCGTGCAACCGGTGGCATTCCCGATTGGCAGATCTCCAGAAACGGCGAGGCCTGGATCAATGTTGAAAGTACCGGCGCGATCACACTGGTTGAAACCGGTATAGATGAACCTGGCACTTACTTCCTGAGTATTAAGAGTTCAGACGGCACCGTCTCAGGCGAGGTAAATCCGATTGTTGTAACCAGCAACGATCTGCCGCGCATATTCTGGGGAGACACCCATGGCCACTCCGGGTTTGCCGAAGGCATTGGCACCCCTGATCGCTTCATGCGATGGGCCAGAGATGATGCCCGCCTGGACTACGTGACCCATTCTGAACACGATATCTGGCTCGACGATTCAGAATGGACAACACTTAAAGACAATGTGCAGGCATTCACTAAAGAAGGTGAATTCATTGCCTACCTGGGTTACGAGTGGAGCGTAAACACCACTAGTGGAGGCCACCACAATGTATTGTTCCGTACACCAGAGCAGCGCAGCCGCATCCCAGCACAGTTTTACCCGACTTTATCGAAGCTTTATCAGGGTTTGCGTTCAACTGCAGAGCCCGAAGATGTTGTGGTGATCCCCCATGCGCATCAGGCTGGCGACTATCGAATCAGCGATCCTGAACTGGAACCACTGGTTGAAATCATGTCGCAACACGGCAACTTCGAATGGTTTGGCCGTATGTATCTTGAGCATGGGCATCAGGTCGGATTTACGGCCGCCTCAGATAACCACCTGAGCCAGCCGGGGTATTCTGCACCCGTTGGCGGCTCCCTCTCCCAACGCGGTGGATTAGGTGCGGTGTTAGCCAAGGCGCGCACCACCGATGCCATATTTGATGGGATGAAAAACCTGCAGGCTTACGCCACCACCGGCGACCGGATCATTCTCGATTTCAATGTGAATGGCACCCCGATGGGCCAGCGCGGCGACTTTTCAGAAACACGCCAGATCAGCGGTAAAGTCATCGGCACTGCGCCCATCGACACCATCTCGCTGATTAAAAACGATAAGGTGCTGTGGGAAAAAGATTATCTACACGACAAAGAAGACAAATTGTCTAAACGCGGCAGTTACCTGCTGACTTTTGCGTCTGCTTCCCATCCACATCATCATCATGATAATCCACGTGGCTGGCGCACCTGGGAAGGTACGCTTGAGATTGAAAATGCGACCCTCGACGAGATAACACCCGTTGATACCAGTTTTCCCCTACAGCGAATAACCAGGGCGCAAGACAACCCCAATCGGCTGACGTTTTCGACCAAGACCCGTGGCGACGGCAGCTCGTATCTGCTGCGTTTGAGCGACGTGCAACGCACTTCAAGGCTGAGATTTGATCTCATTGAAGCAGCGGAAACCGGTGGTGCACCGACAATCTATCGTCCGCATCAACGCATACCCGCTGACACCTTCACGCTGAATTTTAAAGATTTAGAGGAAGGCCGCCTGGCGCACGAACAGACCACAGATGACTACGTAGACACAACTACACTTCGACGCATCATTGAAGACGGAGAACGAGAAGTGAGCTTCGAATTCACCGACACAGACACCAGACAAGGTGACTACTACTTCATTCGAGTTGTCCAGTCCAACGATGCCATAGCGTGGTCAAGCCCTGTGTGGATTGGCGGACACGCGCCAAAATGAGCCTGTTCACTCTGCATGAACGCCTGGCAGCGGATACATCCCTGGTCTGTGAGCTACCCCTGAGCAGCTGCCTTTTAATGCATGATGCCCGTTATCCGTGGCTGATCCTTGTACCGCGAATAGCTGATCTGCGTGACCTGCACGAGGTCCCCGCCGAACATAGGCTGGCCCTGTTCGAAGAAATAGATCAGACTTCGAGCGCGCTGGTTAAACTTCACCATGCGTTCAAGATTAACGTGGCTGCTCTGGGTAATCAGGTACCGCAACTACATATTCATGTCATTGCACGGCAGCAGGATGACCCAGCCTGGCCAGGACCTGTCTGGGGTGAGGGTACTCCAATCGCGTACAGTCAAGCTGATCTGCAGGCGCGCCTGAACCAGCTGCAAACCCTACTTCATTAAGATCAGCAGCAATGCCTGTTGTTTTGCAGCGAGACAAATGATTCTGAATGACGAGGACATTCTCCGACGTCTTGAGGGGCGTCTTGGCGCTGTCCACGCACGCCAGCGACTTGGCATTGAGACCGCACATGAAACACATGTGTTTGGCGGCGGTAGCAGTTTTTTTCATTTGGAGAACTGGTATTCAGCCCACGCAGTTATTCGTGGCAGCTTGAAAATTGTCGGCATGTACAACCGTGCACGCCGCAACGCACTTAAGATTCGCACGGTACACAACCTGATCGAACTACCGAACTTACCTGCAAGTCTAAATGGCTTACGCATTCTGCATTTGTCAGACCTGCATATCGACATGAGTGAAGAGCTCGTCGCTCGCCTGATCGAGTGTGTTAGTAATTTGCAATACGATTTGTGCGTGCTGACCGGCGATTATCGATTTCGCACCTTCGGTGATGTGCAACCTGTACTGCAGGGTATGAGCGCACTTAGGGCAGTTTTACACAGCCCGGTTTATGCGGTGCTTGGCAACCATGACAGCATTAAAATGCTACCGGAGCTTGAAGACCTCGATATCAATATGCTGATGAACGAATCTGTCATCTTTGCCAATGCTAAGCAGGACCCGCTGTACCTGGCGGGGATCGACGACGCCCACTTTTTTGGCGTCGACAACATTGAAAAAGCCATGACAGATATACCGCCGGACGCGTGCACAATACTGCTCTCCCATACTCCGGAGGTATATCGTAAAGCGGCTCATGCAGGTGCCGACCTGTTGTTATGCGGCCACACTCATGGCGGCCAGATTTGTCTGCCGGGCGGTTTTCCGCTGACACTCGATGCACGTATACCGCGTAGATTCGGCAATGGCGCGTGGCGTTACGCGAACATGATCGGCTACACCTCACCCGGCGCGGGCGCATCTATTGTGGATGTACGCATTAACTGCCCACCTGAAGTAACCCTGCACCGCCTCACCAGCCCCAGTCAGTAGGGACGATCACGAACCCCTATTGCGTACATCACCCGAGACAACAGCAGTTCACCCACAACAAAAAGCCCAACTACGACGCTGATAGCGAAGAGGTCAATTTCCAGCGTATCGCGTAAAACCCATAGTGGCAGGAACGCTTCAGGAATCTGATCTAAACCAAATGCCTGTCCGCTGGGAGGCACATTGAAACGACGTTTTGCAAAACTCGATAACGCATCACCACACAGAGACGTCAGGCCAAAACAAGCACCCACAAAAACCGGATAACCTAACAACACCGCCAACAGCGCAGTGACACCCACTCCTGCCACCACACCTCGCCATGTTTTGCTGGCACCAAGCAGCGACCGTCCATCAAAGAACAATAAGCCGCCATCAACAGGCCTTGTAAATCTGTCCCCAAGCAACCGTTTTGCCAGTATAGGTGAGCCATTTGCTGCCAACAGCAGAAGCAAAAGATCGGTAGCCATACCAGCTGTTAGAGACATTGCAACCTACCTCCTCATGCCAAACGGCTAGCCAGGCATAGGTATCTGCGCACCGATCGCCGGTACATCAAAGCCACGCTGCACAGCCGGCCTGGCAGCAATTTCTTTATACCAGCGCAACAGGTGCGGATAACTTGGAAAATCAACACCCTGCCATTCATAGCGAGCAATCCAGGGCCAGGTGGCGATATCCGCTATGGAATAGCTGCCGGCCAGATACTCAGATTCACTGAGCCTTTTATTCAATACGCCATACAAACGCTTTGTTTCAGCCGCGTATCGATCCTCAGCATAGGGCGCCTTTCCCGGATTAAATTTCAGAAAGTGATGCGTCTGCCCTAACATAGGCCCAATGCTCGCCATCTGCAGCATCAACCACTCCAGCGTCTGATAGCGATCATCCCCCCAGAACCGGTCGTGCATATCGGCGAGGTAAATCAGAATGGCGCCGGATTCCATAATCGACCGATTTTTTTCACGGTCAACAATCACTGGAATCTTGTTGTTGGGGCTGATGGCCAGAAACTCGGGCTCAAGCTGCTCATCTTTCGCGATATTTACCGCGTGCACTGTGTAAGGCAAGCCAAACTCCTCCAGCGCAATCGAAATCTTGCGGCCATTCGGGGTACTCCAGGTATACAGATCAATCATCAACAGTCCTTAAGCCAGGTTTCATTTTTTCAGCGCGCGCATATCTTCAGGTTCCCACTGATTACGGAACGCCAGCAGCAGACCTGCTCCCGTACGCTGTTCAAGGGGCAGTTGGGCGTCTGCATCTGCGGCATCGTTGAAGTCATCGTAGACCGAACGCAGGCGTTCAATGAAGCGCTGCGCAGTGGCGTCACTGACAGTGCCCCAGGCAAACCTGAAACTATCCTGAGTACGCACCAGTTTGCGATCGACGAAGCTGCTCAACACATGACCAATAAAATAACGCTCTATGGGACCATTTTTACGCCAGCGAAAACTCCGCGAGACCTGCAGGCGATAGCGATTTTCCGGCAGCAGTTCAATCACACCAAGGCGATCCAGGCGCGCAAACAGCTGCTGTAATTCGAGCGGATCAATCTGGTAGCTGGTCAGCACATCTTCAAAGCGGTAACGATTCAAGACACAGATAGCGGCAATAAAAAGCGGCAGGTTGGCAGCAAGCTCCGCTTCCTGATCTTCACTCAGCTCCTGAATGCGGCCCTTCTGATCGTCTACAGATCTCACCAGTTCCAGCAGATCAGCCTGAGCCAGCTCACACAGCTTTTCCATCCTTTCAACGGAGAAGCTCTGTTCTTTGAAAAGTCGTTTCACTGACGCTTCAGACAGTTCCAGATGCTGTGCCGCATCTGCGTAGGTCAGCCCTGCCCTTTTCAGCGTTCGCTTGAGGGCATCTGTTAGATCACTGTTTCGCGACATACTGAGCTTCAAACCTCTTGTAGCCAGGTATGGAGTACCAGGAAAAGAAGATTGTGCCACCAACCCGCGTGACACACATCACGTTTCACCGGGTTTGTATTTGAGCCGCCTGACGACTACTGCGATGCTAAGCGTGGACTCATCCACGCGCCACCTTGCGCTTCGCAGATAAAGGACCCGCTGTACGTGTTCCAGTTGACCATATGGTCTCTTCCGCCGCTGGCCGCCGCTGCGATTACGTTCGCAGCCTTTCTGCGCGCGCGCCCACAACGCAGAGTGCCTGGCGGGTACGCATTACGCTTCCTCTTCTTAACTCTCTTCTTCTGGTCTGCTTTTAACGCGATTGCAACACTGGTGAGTTCTGAAAAAGCCATTTTTCTGGCTACCCAGTTCGCCTATCTGGGCGTATCGCTGGCTCCAGTGGCCTGGTTTGTTTTTGCCGTGACGTACAGCCAACGTGTTTTAAAGATTTCGCGGCATGCGCTGAATACCATTTCGGCGCTACCGTTAATCACCATGTTGCTTGCGCTTTCGAACTCCTCCCATCACCTGATCTGGATTGATCTACGCTTCGTCTCGGCAGATGGCTTCACCGGGTTGATCACAGAACATGGCTTCTGGTTTTATGTACATGCCGTCTACTCATACGCATTGATCCTGGTTGCCACCGCCGTGTTGGCTTTTGCCCTCACACAATACAAACAACACCACCAGAGTCTGTTGGCGGCGGTATTCGCACCGGTTGTTGCAGTTACCACCAACCTGTTATCACTGTCTCCCTGGAACCCCTATCCCTGGCTGGACCTGACCATGGTCGGGTTTGTTGTCGCGGTTCTTATTCTTGATGTCGGCATCATGCGCCGCGGTCTTCTGCGCAACGCGCCAGTCTCCAGAGAGCGCGTTATTGAGCACCTCAAAGATCCGGTGCTGGTCCTTAATCACGATGGCGAAATCATTGACGCCAATCAATCGGCGCTGTCTGCCTGGGATCACGAGTTCAGCCTGCTTGGCAATACCATCGACGAGCTGATTCCGAGGATACCTAGCGAAATTCTCTTCAGCCCTGACAGCAACAGCGAAACAACTATCGCCGGACGCGCTTACGAAATTGCCTCAACGCCGTTAGACCCCACCAACGTTGCAACCCAGGTAGCCATTGTATTCCGCGACGTCACGGAACGCAGAGCAGCCATTTCCGCTCTGCAGAATGCAAAAGCAGAATTGCAGCGCATGGCGCATACTGACGCACTGACCAATATGCACAATCGACGTTATTTCATGGAACGTCTGCAGACTGAGTTCGAGCGCATCCAACGCCACGGCAGCGTGCTGTCTGTTCTGCTGTTCGACCTGGATCATTTCAAGAAAGTTAATGATACTTACGGCCATGACATTGGTGACGCTGTGCTCATCGCGATTGCTGATGTGGTCAACCAGGTGAAACGCGGGACAGACATCGCCTGCCGATTTGGTGGTGAAGAGTTTGCCCTGCTGCTGCCGGAAACCGACAAGATAGGTGCCATCAACTTAGCGCAGCGGATGCGCAGAAGCATCGAAAGCTACCCTTATGCCACCAAGGTTGGTCACAATGTTCAGGTTACCGCCAGTATCGGCGTCGCCACACTGTCGCAGGCAGATCAGGCACCGGAAAACCTGTTGAAAACGGCTGATCGTGCGCTTTATAAAGCCAAAGATGGCGGTCGCAACATGGTATGCATCAGCAACGACTAGCGTGTTCAGTGCAGTGGCATTGTCAGTGTAAAAGCCCCGCCCTGGTCAACCGCCTGGAAAGATATACGTGGGCCATCCAGGTCAGTTTCGAAAAAAGCTTCATACATGAAGCCAGCCAGAAAATTTCCTAATGCGTAGCCGACCAATACATCTGCCAGATGATGTTTGCGAGCCTCAACCCGTGCGAGTCCCGTCCCTATTGCAACCGCATGCAGGGACAAGTTCAACGACTGACGGCTCCAGTTGGGCATATCAATGTAGGCAAGGTTACGACGCGCCATATTTGTACGGGAGGCCGCCTTGGAAGCATGTCCTGAAGGCATAGAACGGTCGTTGGATCCATCCGGCCGCTCGCGCCCGACAACTTCTTTCAGGCCATATGAAACAGCGCCATCGAGCGCCGCTGTCGCAAGACCGACACTGACGCCGTTAAACTTATCCTGCAGCGTAGGACTGGGTGCAATCAATGCGGTGAGCACGTAGGCACCACTGGCTACATCACGCAGCGTGCTGCTGATTTTTTCCGCATCGTCGCCAAACAGCGGCTGATCTTCAGCAAGATCTTCTGACCACTTATCATCCACATCCGCAGCAAGCATGACACCTGCGGTAAGCACCGGCACCCAAACCGTGGGGTCCGTTGCCGCGGTTCGAGCCGCTGCGGAAAACTGACTGCCCGTTGGCCAGTGAACTGAACCTCCCCATTCTCCCTGACCGACACAGCCACCCAGACTTAACAGACACATCCACGTTAACAGTAATCTCAACCTTCCCCCTGCAGACTTTCAGCCTCTTCGTTAATATCAGCGGCAGAAAAATCTACATCAGCCATCAACAGCTGTTCGGCAATATAAGTAGCCAGACTGAAATAAGCTGGCTCACCCTGCACTGCAATATAGTAGTCATCACTCTCGCCCAGGCGTGAGATTGTAACCTGCTTTTGTTCCATATCATTCCGCAAATCAATGCTCGCCTGCTCTACCAGGCCTTCCGGTGCCTCTTCTACAACACCCACAATTTGCAGCGTAGTAAATCGATTTGCGTAGGTTGTTGCTGTGTTCTGATCCGCGGCGACGCCGTTGTAGAGCCACCCCTCCTCACCGTACAAGAGACTTTCTGGCGGCTGGCTCGGATCAGCAGGGTTCAATGTAATCGACGTTGGAGCCGCCGCCAGGGCAAACATTTTTTTATCCAACCAGCCGTCAACATTGACCGGCAATTCAAAATTCGATAAGCCGATGCTGTAAATCGCATCGCTGTCTGCCCGCCGCCCATGCACCTTCTGAAACCCCGGCGAGGTACCAAGCAACAATGTCGGCACTTTGTCTGCGCCTTTTAACACCACGCGGCGTTGAAAATTGTCCTGCGCTACTTCGAAGCGAACCGCGCTGGCGGGTGTAGTTGCCACAGGCCATTGCCCTTTAAGCCCGGCGAGTTTTTCCAGCATGGCAGCCACCTTGGCCGTATCCGCCGGATAACCACCCACCTGCCAGCCATCGTCAACACGCGTCAGGGACACCTCTGTGTCACCATCACTGAGGTTGATGCCCGTAACCTGGTTAACCCCAAAGGACAACAGCGCATCCTGATTTTCCGTCGCAGGCTGGTTCTGCATCGCAAACACCATCACCAGAACCAGCTGAAGCACCAGCACGACTGTCAGGAGACTCAATTTTCTGCTCACAACTGCCCTCCCGCTGGATTAGACATCCAAAGCATATGTTGGCGTCGACGCGCCTGAGAACGAAGGCGGAATGCAAACCAGACAAACAGAACCCCAACCAGGGCCATCACATAGTTTGCGATCTCGACCAGACTTTGCGTCGCCACATCCATACCCGGCAGTGTGCGGTTGAAGTTTCCTCTGGCACGAATACCGATGAGGTTCTGATCTTCGAGGGACCAATCCACCGCGTTCGCAACCATTTGTATTGAGTTGCCGTAGATCGTGCCATCAGCAGCACCGACCATACGCAGGGTCTGATCGGCAACAAAATCGTTTGAAGCGAACACCAGCAGTCGCGCTGACTCAGGCGAACGCTCTATGACACTGCTGACGATGCCCAGATTGCTTTCGTCTTCTGCACCCTCAGAAGCGCCATCAGCAGACGTTTCCGCATCGCTACCCTGATCTTCCGCTGCTGATACAAGTAGCGGTGAAGTCTGCCCTGAATAAAAACTTTCAAAGCGCCCCTGCAGAGCTGCTGCAAGGGTATAAGCCGTCTGCTCCGCAGCCGGTGTGAATGTGGAATTACCCTGCTCATCGATCTGCGGCATGACGTTTGTGTCATTAGACAACCAGCTGGCACTGCTGGACCTTAACAAGGTGGTCGCCACAATATTTTCTGCCGGGTTAAGGCTCAGAGGTGATGCCCATGAGAGCGTGACTTGAGGCAGACCCGCATTAATCGGCACTGTGTCATCCAGACCCTCGTCTCGCACGTCAATAAAATAGGGATAGTCGAGCATCACCAGATCCTGGAAGCTGAAACCGCCCGCCTGCCTGGTAACCGGCACCGGAAATGCGGAATTCTGCCTATCCATGACGAGATTCTGACCCACGGTAACACCATGGTGTGCCAACCAGTTCTGCAGTCCACTATCACGTTCGGACGCAAACAGACCACTCTGACTGGGTTGCGCGGCATAGGCGGCCGTTGCGACCAATACCGTACCGCCTTTCATCAGAAACTGATCCAGTGCAAATACCTGCTTATCGGTGAAGCTGCTCGGGTCTACGACAATGACCATATCTGCCTGTGCAGGCACCACCCCATCACTCAAGTCGTTTGTCAGCACGTTGAAATCTGCGGAGAGGAAATCCCGCAGAGAATTGAACTCGTTGCCCGGCGGCATGCCCTGCTGCTGCATGTAAGGCGGCACAGGTTCCGGCGCAACCAGCACCACAGTCTTCAACAGCCCTGTTGCAAAGCGCTTAAGTCCTTCCTGCAGGCTGCGTCGTATGGCTTCTTCACTGTCGCCATCGGGTATAGGCATCTGTACCACAGTGTCACCGTCGTTAAGCGTCAGATAGAAATAGAATCTGCCTTCGTCAAACAAGCTCGCTGCCATAGGCGAAAAACCATATTGTTCTGCAATCTGTTGAGCCACTTCCCCTCCATTGGCCTGAGGATCAATCACTTCAACTTTCAGTTTGCCCTGGGCTTCCGCAGCCAGAGTCTCCAGCACATTTTCCAGGCTGCTCTTGAGACTCTGCAATTCAGGCGGTAACTGGCTCTCTGCCGATATGTAGCCGACAAAGTTAACCGGCGCGGCCATGTTGTCGAACACACTCGCGCCACCCTGAAAACCGTACAACACTTTCTTGATACCGCGCGTAACATCAAACTCAGGATTGGTCAGCTGCACCTCAAAATCGCCTTCGCCGGCCACTTTCACTTCAATCAGATCCTGAAAATTGAGGACCTCAAATTCATCTCCATAGGCAATCAGCACATCAAAATAGGAATTTACCAGGCTCGCCTGATAGCGATCTGCAACCTGAAACGGGACCGCACGAATGCCGTATTTACTGTTGGCTTCGTTTTCCATTTCCGGATCCATCGCGGGGTCAACAAACTCAACCCGCACCCGGTTATCGCCAGCCACAGCATACTCTCGTAACAGGTCTTGCAGCCGCGGCACCAGAGGCGCAAGGTCCGGATGTGTTTTAGCACTGAAATATCCTCGTATCAGCAACGGCTCCTGCAACTGCGCAAGATAACTTCTGGTTGCATCCGAGATAGAGTAGATTTTGCCCTCGGTCACATCTACACGCAGTGCCGACACGTTCTGCAGCCACACGTTTGCAAGCAGAAGATTTGCAACCACCAGTGCCGTGCCGATACGCCAGCTGCGATGCCGAGTGAGATCACCCTGAGCGGACCACCGCTCTCGCTCGAGTGCAAATACATTGAGGCTCAGGAACACCAGCGCGATACAGGCGTAGTAATACAGGTCGCGAATATCAAGCACACCACGTGTGATCGATTCAAAACGGGCACCACTACCAATGGCGGCGAGCCAGGACTGGACACCGCTGCCAAACAGTTCGGTGATAACCGGGCTGCCTACCAGATAGAACAGACCACTGACTAAGCTCGCGAGCATCAAAGCAACAATCTGGCTGTCAGTACGCGAACTGATATACAAGCCAATCGCGATGTAGGCGCCGCCTAACAACATAGCAGCCAGATAACCCGCAAACACCGGCCCCCAATCCAGGTCGCCTATCACACTGACCGTTAACGGCAGCGGCAGGGTCAACAACAGGGCAATCGCCAGCAGGCTCCAGCAGGCGAGAAACTTGCCCAGCACAAATGACCAGGTAGACGCGGGCATAGTGGCGACAAATTCCAGCGTGCCGGACCGACGCTCTTCGCTCCACATACGCATGGTCAGTGCAGCACTCAGAAATATCAGCAGGATCGGCATCCATTCAAACATCGGCCGCACGTCAGCAATGTTGCGCGCAAAAAAGGATTCCCCCCAGAACACCACAAACAAGGTAACCGCCAGAAAGGCAGCCAGGAACAGATAGCCGATAGGCGAGACAAAAAACAGTATCAGCTCTTTGCGCTGAATCTGAGAAATAGTTTTAAGCGGCATCAGAGACCTCATCCAGCATAGCTTCGTTGACCTGCTTGAAAATACTCTCCAGATCCTGGGCTGCGGGTATCAGGCTGTAGATAGGCACACCGGCCTGCACCAGGGTGCTGGCAAGGGCACCGATACCCGCATCAAGATCACCTTTCAGCTCGATCCGCCAGTGGCCAGCAGCTTCAGGCAATATCTCGGCCGCCACAGCCAAACCACCCACCGCGGCCTTTATATCGGCCTGAACATCGGTCTTCAGATGCACCGCTGATGCCTGCTGCAGGTCATCCAGCCGTTCATCCAAGGCAAGCTGTCCGGCGCGCAGAATCAGCACCCGATCACACACCGCTTTCACCTCCTGCATGATGTGGGTCGACAGAATGACGGTAGCGTTCTCGGCCAAGCGACGGATGAGTTCACGCATGTGTTGCGTCTGCGTTGGATCCAGTCCGTTGGAGGGCTCGTCAAGAATGACAAATTTAGGTGAATGCAGTATGGCCTGCGCAACACCCACACGCTGCTTGTACCCGCGGCTGAGTGTGTCAATACGATCCATTGCGCGACTTTCGAGCTGAGTGGCCTCAACGGCCCGCGGCACACAATGTGCAGGCTGCAAGCCACGCAATTCTGCAGCGTAAGATAGGTACTCAAGCACAGTGAGCTCTGGATAAAGAGGCGAACTTTCAGGGAGGTAACCCATCTTTGCCTGCACCAGATCAGGTGCTGCAAAGACATCAACGCCATCCACCAGAGTCTGTCCTGCTGAGGGTTCAAGAAACCCGGTCAGCATTTTCATAATGGTGGTTTTACCCGCCCCGTTATGACCCAGCAAACCAACTACCTCGCCAGGTTCTATGCGGAACGATACATCGTCGACCGCTTTGAACTCTCCATAGCGGCGCACCAGGTTTTTCGCTTCGATCATAAAGACTCCTAAACGGTTGGCAGACAATAGATCTCGGTGGGCAAAAATATTGATTTGGAGAAAAATTTCAAGAGCAGATGAGCGCAAATTTGTTGCAAATTGCTACCAGAAGCTCAACCTTTAGCGAAGCAAAAAGTTCGGCACAATCTAACATGAATTTATCCGGCCCAGCAGGTCACCTTGAACATCGTCTGGACCAGGCGAGCAGCCCGCTCAGAATTGTCGCGATTCTTAGTCATCCTCATCCGCAATATGGTGGCAATCTAAATGATGCGGTTCTGGCAACCGCCGTTCAGGTTCTGCAGGAACACCACATCTCCACCCTGCGATTTAATTTTCGCGGTGTGGGCGCCAGCGAGGGTAGTTTTGATGGCAACGCTGAAGCAGAAGACCTGCTGGCAGTCTCTGCAGGTTGCAGTGACGCTTATCCCGACCACGACATCTGGTGGGTTGGCTATTCATTTGGTGCAGCAATGACCTTACGTGCACTGGCCAGTCAGCAGCCTCAACGCAGCCTGTTGATTGCACCCCCCAACAAAGTCATGCAGATACCTGCAGCGGCAAAACATTCTGGCTACGTCAGCGCAATCGCCGGCGAGGCGGACGACTATGTAGACGCCGAAGGGCTGCAACAGGCGTTTGGCATTCAAACCAACCGGATTGCCGGCGCGGATCATTTTTTCTCCGGCCAGCATCATCTGCTGGCCCAGGCCATCAGCCAATGGGTCGAAAGCGCCGCGGCTCCCTGATAAAAAGCCGCGGCGCTTTGATTAATCGCAAAGACCGGCTAAACAACCACCGCACCGGTATAAAATTCATGGAAGTAGTAGGCGAGCGCATAAATCACAGAGCCAACCACAACAGGCAACAGCCACTCCCGGATCGCCCAGCGGTTGCGACCGGTTAACAGGGCAGCGAACGGAATATTCGACGACACCCGAGCCAGTTGCTGCCACTTCTCCGGATCCGCCTGAGCCTGTTTACGATCCATCAGCAAAGTGCCAAAGAAACTCAGCGACAGGAAAGCACTGAAAAAAAGCAGAGAGACGGTATCCCCATTGGCAATAATATGGCCCACCGCCCAGATGATGATGGCCCACTGCATGGGATGGCGGGTGATTCTGAAGACACCGCGGACGAGTTCAACCTCACTTAGTTGGGGGTCAGCGTTCTTTGGCGCCATGAAACCACCAACCAAAAACATCATCGCCAGCGGCATGCTTAATTTTGCATACCAGTACAAGTCAGGGTCAGGCATCCAGAGATAGTCAAACCTGGGCGCCTGAACGTAAACCCAGATAAAATAGGTCAATGCAGCCGCTGCCACCAGCGAGTAAAACAGCATATACATGCCCTGCCCCATCAACCGCACCAGCACACCTCGCAGCGGTGAACTCGAAATACCCAGATGGGTGCCTACCCACAGACCTGCCGCCAGCCATAACTCTGCCATCATTTACCCCAGAACAAATTCAGACACTGCATCTAACACCGCATTCGGTTGCTCGGTCAGCATGGCATGTCCACACCCCTGCAGAGAGTGCACACGCGCATTTGATAACTGCGTTGCCACCGCAAGACCTGCTTTTGCCGGCGTCATCTTATCTGCCTCACCAACCACAACCAGCGTCGGGATTGCGCAGTTTTCACTTTTAAACTTGAAATCGTTACAGGCAGCCAGATCCGCATGAAAAACTCCCGCAGACAGATGTTCCATCCAGCGCTCGGCCGCATTAAAACTATGCATCCCAGGATTCGCTGAAGCCCCCAACATACCCTGGCGACTGTGGCTGAAGGCGTTGGCCATATCGATTGCGGCATAATGCCCATCAGCCGCGGCAGCCAGCAACGGTGGACCGACGGGCATCGGGCTTGAGGTACCCAGCAACACCATCTGCCGCACCTGCTGCGGATAACGCTGGGCCATCGCGAGCGCCACGAGGGTACCCATACTGTGACCAACAATAGTGGTCTGAGTGACGTTCAAGTGATCAAGCAACGCGCTGAGCACGTCAGACATCGCTTCAATAGTTGTACAGGCGGGACCATCACTGCCGCCGTGCCCGGGCAGATCGAGTGCAACGACATTTAAACCATGACGCGCAAAGTAACGCGCCATAGGCGTCCAGACCGCGTGATCAAAACCCGCACCATGTACAAATACGATAGTTTCACGTTGTGCCTGCAGCACGCTGCCGCCGGTGCCATAGGCAACGGTGTGGCCATTCAGTACTGTCTTCATAAACGCTTCTCCACCGTGCGCAGCGCCTTGCCCAGATCATTGATCAGATCGAGCGGGTCTTCCAGCCCGACACTGATACGCACCAGACCTTCGCCAATACCTGCTGCCGCCAGCGCCTGCGCGTCCACACGGTGATGCGTGGTGCTGGCCGGATGGATAACAAGCGATTTTGCATCTCCGACATTGGCAAGATGGGAGAATAACTCCAGCGATTCAATGAACAGCTGCCCCGCTCGCCGCCCACCCTGCAGGGTAAGCGTGAACACCGCGCCGGTACCCCGAGGCATCAGCTGCTGGCCCAGGGTATAGTCAGGATGCTGTTCAAGACCTGGATAATTGACATTTTGCACCTGCGGATGTGAGACAAGAAACTCAACCAGCTGCGCGGTATTGCTGACATGTTTGTCCATGCGCAGGGACAGGGTTTCGAGCCCCTGCAGTATCTGAAAAGCACTCATCGGACTCATACAGGCACCAAAGTCACGTATGCCTTCTTTACGCGCGCGGGTGATGAACGCCTGGGGACCAAATTCTTCGGTGAAAACAAGATTGTGGAAACCGGAGTAAGGCTCGGTCAATGTGGGAAACTTATCTGAACCTGCCCAGTTGAAGGTGCCGCCGTCTACCAGCACGCCGCCAATAACCACACCATGGCCACTGAGAAACTTGGTCGCCGAATGTACGACAAGGTCTGCCCCCAGAGCTATAGGTTGGCATAAATACGGTGTTGTCAGCGTCGCATCGACCATTAACGGTAAACCGTGATCGTGGCTGAGCTGCGCCAGGGCTGGAATATTCAACACTTCAAGGCCCGGATTACCCAGGACTTCTGCAAACACCAGTTTTGTATTCGGCTTTATCGCCGCTGCAAAAGCATCCAGATCGCGGGGATCTACGAAGGTGGTCTCAATCCCAAAGCGCTTTAAGGTGTAGCTGAATAGATTATGCGTGCCACCATAAAGCGAGCGAGACGCTACGATATGATCGCCCGCGCTGACAATTGTGCACACACCGAGATGCGTAGCTGCCTGACCACTGGCCGTCACAATGGCGCCCACACCCTGATCCAGTGCTGCCATACGTTCTTCAAGTACCGCATTGGTAGGATTAGACAGCCTCGAGTAGACGTGGCCCGCTCGTTCCATATTGAACAGCCCGGCGGCGAAGTCAGTATCCGGGAGAACAAACGATGCGGTCTGATAGATGGGTGTTGCCCGCGCGCCGGTCTCGTCCGGTGTTTGCCCCGCGTGCAGACTCAGCGTATCGAAGCCGATAGGGGCGGGACCCCGATGTTCTTTCTTATCCATGACCACTCCTGCTGACAATCTGCAGGGTGGCGGGTTTGGCAACGCGAATCAAGCGCTGGCCGATAGCAGCATCAACTGCGGTAGAAGCGGGCTTCTCGCTCGAGATTGCCCGCAGAGATCTGCTCATTCAGTGTCCACCAATCGTAGATAATGCCGATAAAGAAGAACCCCAGCGTCAGCAGATAGAGAATACCGGTGCCGATCTTGCCCTGATAAAACCGATGCAGGCCAAAAATCCCCAGAAAGGTCAGCAGCACCCAGGCAATGGTGTAGCTGAGTTCGCCAGCGGCGTAACGCCGATCGGCTGACCGTTCCAGGGACGGCATCAGAAACAGGTCAATGAGCCAGCCAATACCCAGCAAACCCAGGGTAAACAGATAAATGGTACCGCTGATGGGCCGCCCAAAATAAAACCTGTGCGCGCCCAGGAAACCAAAAATCCATAAAACGTAGCCGACAAAAAGGCTGTGTGTATCGTTGTGTCTATCCATACTCACATTGTCGCACTTACGCGCAGAAAAGTTTGCCTGCTGCAACTGAAAACGCTCTAAAACACGCGAAAGTAATCCGCCGGCTGCTGAAAATTGGCGGTCAGTGAAGCACCTGAATCGGCCAGATGCATCGACGGTGCAAATGCTGACAGGCTCGACGGCGCATATATCTGCGGCTGACAGTGATGACATCCGCCACTGACCTGTTGCAGTTGATGATTATTCAACGGACCAAAAGTTGGCGTTTGGTCTGATTTGCGATTCTCCATAACAGCACTCCGAAAAAATAAGAGGCGTAAATCCTAGCCCACCCGCCAATGCAACCCGGTAGGTTAACACCCCGACCTGCTGCACAATGATGACCTCACGACATGACGCTTTTTTCATTTTAGAATGAGGCACCTTCTTATGAGCTATGAGCATGTCCCAGGCATTTTCCTTTCCCGAACCGCAAATGATCGAGACTAACGGCGTGGCACTGGAAGTTTTCAGCGCAGGTTCGGGCAGACCTATCGTCTTATGCCACGGCTGGCCTGAGCATGCTTTCTCCTGGCGCCATCAGATCCAGCCCCTGGTCGATGCCGGCTACCATGTCATTGCCCCTAACCAGCGCGGTTATGGTCATTCCAGCCGCCCTGAAGACGTCACCGACTATGACATCACGCATCTGACCGGCGACCTGATGGGACTGCTGGATCACTTCGGGTATGAAGACGCCTTATTTGTCGGGCATGACTGGGGCGCCATTATTGTCTGGAACCTGGCAATGATGCATCGCAAACGGGTGAACGGTGTGATTAACATGAGTGTGCCATTCATGGAGCGCGGTCCAACCGAATGGGTCGGCTTCTGGGAGCAGCATCTGGGCGGCGACTTCTATATCGTTCACTTCAATCGCCAGCCTGGCGTGGCAGACGCGGCATTTGCCGAACATCGGGAACAATTCTTACGCAATCTGTATCGCACCAACCAATGGCTCTCGCCACCAGCAGATCTGCCGCCGGGCATGAACATGATCCGCATTGCAGAGGCTGAAAAAATGCCAGGTGATGACCTGATGAGCGAAGCTGAGTTACAGGTATTCAGCAATGCTTTTGCACATTCAGGCTTTACCGGGGGCATTAACTGGTACCGCAATTTTTCCCGCAACTGGGAGATTATGGGTGAGTATGAGCAACACATTCATCAGCCAACGCTGATGATCTACGGCGACCACGATATGGTGCCCAGCTCACCTTCGCTAGGCGATTTTGTCAGCAATCTGGAAGTTGTGAATCTGCCCTGTGGGCACTGGATACAACAGGAACAGCCGGCTGCAACCAACGCCGCCATGCTGGATTGGCTGAAGCGCCACTACCCCACCAGTGTATAGCGGACTGCGCCCACCAGCGCAGCGGCGATCAGCGTAACCACCGCAAACATGCTGCCAATCATGCCGGCACCGCGACGGGCGGGATCGGCAATATAGCTGCGGAAGTAGTGCGCGCGAGCAGCCACAAAGACGATACCCATGCCCACTGCAAGCCACTGGTTGGCAAAGTAACCGGCGGCATAAATCGCAGGTACAAACACTACCAACTGTTCCAGCGTATTCTGATGGGCACGATGAAATCGTTCAAATTTCTCATCACCGGTGACTGCCGGCGCGGCAACGCCATGGCGCGCACGCGCCCGTCCGACGGCCACGCCGAAATACAGGTATTCGGCCAGCGCAAACATGACCACTATGGTGACATAAGCCATACGTACCTCCCCTAGGCAACGGGAATCATAAAGGCAGCAGTGGCTTCAGCGTAGACGCGGCCATCGCTTGCATCTATGACCCGCCCTTCCATTTGTGCCAGACGACTCTTACGTTTCAGACAACGGCCTTCAAGCAGAACCGGGGTACCGATGGGCAGTTGGTTTCGATAGCGGATCTCCGCACGCGCAGTGAAACACTGTTGCCCCTGCAACCAGAGCCAGTTCGCCATAACATCATCAAGCAGGCTGAACACAATGCCCCCGTGAGTCACTTTGTCGTAGCCCATGTGTTCAGGTCCCGCGGTGAACGACCCTCGACACACGTCTGCATCAAGTGTGAACGTTACACCAAGCCCATTGGGGTTGCCTGGACCGCAGACAAAACATTGATTCCCCTGAGATTGCAGCAGGGATTCACGACCGCGGCTTGCGTCCGCTGATTGTGCACCGTCTTCCATCATTCACCTGATTGTTCTTGGTTTGGGGTATCATGCATGTTTTTGGTCCGACAAGCATCCGTGGTTGATCTAACACATATCCGCCAGAGCCTTTCTCAGCACACGCCTGAGTTCGTGACGCCCGCTGCGCAAACCCGCCAGGCGGCCGTTGCTATTGTCATGCGCGAAACCGAACAGGGTCCCCAGATGCTGTTCATCAAACGTGCCATCAAAGAGGGTGATCCATGGTCTGGACACATGGCTTTTCCCGGCGGCCATCTGGAACCGGTCGATGCCTCTCTGCAGCATGCGGCGATGCGCGAAACCTGGGAAGAGACAGGCCTGCAACTACCCGGAGACAGCCACCTCGGCGCGCTGGACCATCAACGCGCCCAGCCCAAAGGCCGGACTCTGGACATGCTGATAGCACCCCACGTCTTCGAGATTTCCGGTGAACCACAATTCACGCCCAACTACGAAGTCGCGGAGGTTGTCTGGGCGCCACTACATCCGATGTTACGCAACGATCTGCATGACACGGAAACAAAACCCATGGCCGGCACACCCACGGTCTTCAACGGCTATCGCCTCGAGCAGGGTCACTTTGTCTGGGGTTTAACCTACCGCATTCTGAAGACATTTTTCTGGACGCTGGACCCCGCCTGGCAACCCATCGACCGGGATTAGGTCAGGGTTGCAGACCGTGATAGCTGGCAATTGCCAGACCGGTTGCAACGCTTGTAAAGGGGTCATGATCCACCACCTTGTCACCAAAGCGTCTTTCGAGCAGCGACCTGACGGCGGGAATCAAGCTCGAACCGCCCGTGCGCAGCACTATGTCTATCTCTTCAGGCGCCAGCTGTGCCTGCTGCAGAGTGACCTCTACGGCTTCGCTGATCTGTTGCAGTGGCTGAGCAATCAGCGCTTCAAATTCCGCCCGTGTCAGCGTGACATCCACGTCTATTTCCGGGATATCCAATCGCGCTGAAGGCTGCGACGACAACGCCGCTTTAAAAGCCTTGATACGCGCAAACAGCATGTAGCTGAGGTTATGTTTGATCACCTCACGCAAGCGTTCGAACTTTCGCTGCCCGGGGCCACCCTGCTCGATACACTCCATCACCGGCGTGGTGTACTTATTCTGATTCAGCGTATACGTCACCGCCCAGTTCAACAGCAGATCTGCAAAGTCTTCAAATGGGAAACGGGTTTCGATCACTTCACGGTCAAACCCCGGACGCCGCCACAATTCGCCCTCACCCAGAAGCGGAAACAACAACTTACGAAACAACAATTGGTCAATGTGATCGCCACCAAGACCAACTCCATAGGTGGTGACTACCTCAAAAGTATCACCATGCTTTTTCAGCACACACAGGTCCAGCGTGCCACCACCAAAGTCAACCGTCAGGAGCACATCCCCGGAAACCCCGGGATTGTTGTGCAGGTAGCTGGCAGCCGCGGCAATTGGTTCAGGATAAAAATGCTGCTCCGCCACCCCGGCATACTTGTAAGCCTCGCCCAGACGCGACAATGCCAACTGATTCCTGTGCGGGTCTCTGCCTTCAAAATTAACCGGGTGACCCAGATGCGCCGCAGAAACTGTACCTACCTCCGCCTCCAGCGCCTTGCGCATGCGCAGGAGCAACGGCGTGATCAACGCAACCAGCCGAAAAGGATGATCGAACACCAGCAAACGCCGAACGCGGGAATCACCCAACAATCTCTTTGTACCCCTGAACAGACGCCCCTGCAGACCACTGTCGGTGACCGGCGCGCCGTATATTTTCTCGGTAGACGTATCTACTTCGTTGTTCTCTGCACCATCGCCGTGTTCAACAAACTGACTGACTTCCGCAATAACCTCTGGAATCAGTTCAACGGTTCTGCCCGTATTGTCCGCAATATATTGTTCAATCGCCGCCTGGCCGGTTTTAGTCTGCAGATTGCGATCAATGTAAGTTGCCGACGGCATGATCGCGACATCATTGTCGAGCTGTACACTCTGCAGCGCCGCTGTTTCCAGCAAGTCTTTTTCCAGGGGAATTAAGGTCACGGTTTTACCATCAAACACCGCCGCTGCAGAGTTTGTGGTTCCAAAATCGATGCCTACGCCTAACTTTTTCACTTAAAAGCCCCTAAATTCTGAATCGCTGCAGATAATCAGGCAGTTCAATCCCTGCTTTGAGGTCTGCAGCGGGTTGCGCTGTACCCACCTGTAAACTCACTGGAATAACACCCGCCCAGACATCGCTGGCTTTATCCTGCTCATCATCACCCGGGTCACCATCACGCACCTTGGCAGCCATTTCAGCCAGACTGACCCGCACCACAGCGGTGGCCGCCAGTTCCTGGGCGGTGGGTTCCCGCACAGCCTGTTCGTGACCAGGGACAAGTACCGCAACAAACTGATCCAGCGCCTCCCGGTGTCGGCTACCAGTTACTGCTTCGCCCTGGCCGAAAATGGACACTGAACGATAGTTCATCGAGCAATTGAAACCACTGCGCGCAATCACATAACCGTCGACCAGCATCACGCTGATACATACGTCGCCGCCTGCGGCCATATGTTTCAGCAAGGCACTTTGACGATTGCCATGCAGGTAAAGATAGTTGTCATCATAAAAATACAGGGTTGGAATGAGGCGCGGCTCGCCATCCTCAACAAACGCCACGTGACATATCTGTTGGGCCGCTAGAATGTCTTTGATTACATTCAGGTCGTATTGCGCACGTTTCGCATTGCGCTTTATGGTGGCCCGCGTTGAAGGCGGCTGCATAACAATTCACCCGGTTATTTTCCGCCGGGCAGTGTATACGCAAGTCTACCCAAAAACACTTTGAAGCAGGTTAAACTAGTGCCTCAAACAGAGCAGACGTGTGTCCGAACCAACCGATCTAAACAAATTTAAGAAACTGCGCCGTCAACAACGGGGCAGAAACACCACCTTGTGTAAAAGCGGATTCCACAAGTGGGTGTTTTCGGAGAAAAAGCAGTTCGACGTCAAGCAGGGCAAGCTCATCAGCGTAGAACGCTGTGAGCGTTGCCAGCTCACACGGACAAAAATCAGCTAGCTGTCTGCATCAAGGGTGACCAGCGTGGGCAGGTCGCACCCCACCCCGGTACCATTTAAACCACAATAACCGTTGGGCACTTTTGCCAGGTACTGCTGGTGATAATGCTCTGCATAATAAAAAGCCGGCGCTGCTTTGATTTCTGTCGTGATTTCGCCATAACCTGCCGCCGTCAGAGCCGCCTGATAGGTCGCCCTGGATGTTTCGACAGCCTCAGCCTGGGCATCTGTATAGGTATAAATAATTGATCGGTATTGCGTACCCAGATCATTGCCCTGGCGCATGCCCTGGGTTGGATCATGGCTCTCCCAGAACAGCTTCAACAGCGCCGCCAGAGTTGTTTCCGCCGGATCGAATACCACCAGCACTGTTTCACTGTGCCCGGTAGCGCCGCTGCAGACTTCTTCATAAGTCGGGTTTGGCGTGTAGCCGCCGGAATATCCTGCAGCAGTCACATAAACACCGGGGGCCTGCCAGAAACGACGCTCTGCGCCCCAGAAACATCCCATTCCAAACTGAATCTGCTGCATGCCAGCCGGAAATGGGGGTTGCAGTGAGCGACCCGATACAAAATGCTGCTCAGGTACAGGCATCACCGCGTCACGACCTGGCAACGCCTGCTGTTCTGATGGCATTAAAAGTTTTGCACCTAAGCCCATGGTAAGCTCCTGATTTCGTTAAAACCTGTATTATCCGAGCCGCAAGTTTAGCGCGTCGCCTGGCCAGTACAAACGAATCCGAGTTTTTGTTGTCCAACATTACGGGCTGTCCGACACATTTATCGACCTTCAACGTTCACACCCTGCAACGCGGATGCTATAACACCCTCATGCGAACACTGATTTTACTGGCTGCTTTCTCCATCAGCCTCGGTTGCCAGAGTGCAACTCCGACATCTGACTCTATTAACAACACAGCCCAGGCGAGCGCGAGTCCTGGTGCATTGAACCTGACCGAGGCGCAGCTGGCGTTTGTCGAAGGTGCTGATTTTTCTGATCGCCTGCAACGTCTGATGGAGCTTGAGAAGCAGGCGCTGGCTTTAGCTGCCGATGAGCCGCTCAAACTTGGCAGCCTCGGCTCAGCGATCCTGGATATTTATGCTGGCAGCCTGACGGGCCACTACGCAATGCGCCAGTTCTACGACCATGTCGACTCTGAAGATGCAAAAGCGGTTCACGATCAGGCGCTGACGGAACTGATAGAGGCCCTGAAGAGTGACGCTGACGGCACGCGCAGCAAACCTTACAAAGGACTGACGTTATTTGACGGCCACACCCTGGCAAGGCTCAACAATCGTTCTGCTGTTGGGGCGATTTACCAGAGCAATGCCATCATGGGTTTTGGCTATCAACTGGTCAGCCGCCCGGAAAACGGACCCCTGCAGCGCGAGTTTTTCGACATCAGCCCACTCATGAAGGGCTTACACAATGCCCATGATACCAACACCGACACCCCGTCCAGTCAACCCCATGCCGCGGGCGATAATCCGTGGATCTTAATCCGACTGTTGGCTGCGCAGAATGATAGCGCTGCCCAGACTGCGATTGGTCGATATCTGGCCTCAGTGCAGAAATTCGAAGACGCTGCGGGCTGGTTAGAGGTTGCCGCCCGTGCAGAAAATGTTGTGGCAAACGTTCTGCTCGCCACTATTTACTGGAGTCAGGCAGAAGACAGCCAAGACCCTGGCATTAAGAAGGAACTGCGCGAGCGTTCACTGGAAAATTACCTGCACGCAATAGCCCTGGGTTCAGCCGATTCCATGTATACCCTTGCCAATCTGTACATCAACGACGTGTACGGTGAAGAAAACCGCGCAGCGGCTTTGCCCCTGCTGCGTCGTGCCGCCGATCTGCAACATCCCGAATCACTCCTGTATCTGGGGCACCTGTACAGTGTCGGTCGCGAAGTCGAGCAGGACCTTATCCGGGCCGATCAGTATTTTGCGCAAGCGGCTGCACTGAACGACGCCCAGGCAATACTCAGCTACGGGCGGTTCTTAACCAGTGCCAGCGAAGAGCCGCAAACTTTCAGCGCTGCTGCAGACATACATGGTTGGCTGGAGAATCTGGCTGAGGACAATAATGCAGAGGCTATGGTATTACTGGGCAACCTGCACGCACGTGGCCTGGGCCAGAAAGCATCCAACCGCCGCGCGGTGAGCTGGTACAAGAAGGCCGTTAAAGCCAACCCGGAAGATGGTGATATCGTTAACGAAGTTGCCTGGACTCTGGCGGTATCAGATATTCAAGGTCTGCAGCGCAGCGCTTTCGCCAAAAAGATCATGGACAATCTCATGACCAAAAATGCTGATGCCGCACAGCGTCCGGAATATATCGACACGTGGGCTGCAGCACATGCGGCCAACGGAGACTTCGATGAGGCCATCCGGCTGCAGAATGTCGCCATCGAAACAGCAACAAGCCAACAAAGAGACGACGTCATCGGTATACTCAAAACCCATCTTGAGAAATTTGAAGCCGGTGCAACCATCATCGAAAAAGCACCCTGAACACGATGAACTGATCCATCTGCTTGCACACCAGAAACCCTTTCTGGACGTGCGGGCACCTGCTGAGTTTGCCAAGGGTCACCTGCCCAACAGCATAAATCTACCTATTCTCAATGATGAAGAGCGCCACCAGGTGGGCCTGACATTCAAACGGGAGGGTCAGGCTGCAGCCACAAAACTTGGTCACAAGCTGGTCAGCGGCGCGGTCAAAGCGGCTCGTATTGCACAATGGCAAACTTACATAGACGAACAACCTGAAGCCTTAGTCATGTGCTGGCGCGGCGGCCAACGATCGCAAATTGCACAGAATTGGCTGGCCAGCAGCGGCTATAACATCCAGCGCATATCCGGTGGTTACAAAGCCTGTCGGCAGGCCTGCATAGATATCCTGGAAGACGCTGCACAGGCAAAGAAACCGTGGTTTGTGCTTGCCGGGCGCACCGGCGTGCAGAAAACCGTGCTGCTGAACACCCTGCCCAACAGTATCGATCTGGAGGGTCTGGCCAACCATCGAGGCTCAGCTTTTGGCGCCCAAACCAGCCCGCAACCGAGCCTGCCAAGCTTTGAAAACAACCTGGCGGTACATTACCTCAGACATCAGCAGGCTACCCTGGTACTGGAAGACGAGAGCCGCATGATCGGCAGAATCGCCGTACCGGAAAGCTGGCACCTGCGGATGAAGAAATCACCTCTGGTCCTGCTCGAAGCCACCCTTGAACAACGCGTTGAACACATCGTTGCGGAGTATGTCGACACGCGCCTGTCCCAGGGTGATGCTGCCACCGAACTGGAAGCACATTACCGTGGCGCGCTGAAGCGCATTGCCCGCCGACTGGGCGGTGTTCTATATCAGCAGATTGATGACATGATCCGCCTGGCTTTTGAAAACCAGGCTGATCACCGACAGTGGGTACGCACCCTGTTGAAAGACTACTATGACCCCATGTACGACTATCAACTTAAAGGCAAAGCCAGCCGGGTGATCTATACGGGAACGTTCCCGCAGGTACAGGCTTTCTTAACAGAGAAGAACTGTTAAAAATACTGCAACGACTTAGTGATCATGCCCGTGAGGCAGATTCGCCAGATGTGTTTCTCGATGGGCCAGGTCTTCTGCGGACACCAGATTTTTATCCACCATCAGCTGCTGTAACGCGGCCTGGAAATGGTCGTAATATTGATATTCGTCAACGTCCTGAGCACTGCGGTCCCAGCGACCGATGACTTCGATCAGCTGATTCTGAAATTCATCCCAGCTGAACAGACCAGCTTCGTGCAGCGCCACCGCCATTCCGAATACACGGCCATGCCAGGGCGCTTCAAACAGCACTTCACCATTGGCCATCGGCGGCTGCAGGCTTTCGCTCAACACATTCTCCAACGAGGATGCTGGGGTGTCCGGCCTGCCATCACTCATGCTGGCGCTCTCCCAGCACCGACACACCAATCATGCTGTCCCTTGAAACTGACTGAGCGAGGCTTTCTACATCACGCCCCTGCCAGTTCGCAGGCATCTCTGGCAACACCATGTAGCGAATTTCTGCCGAGGAATCCCAGACGCGAATCTTTTTCTCAGCCGGGATATCTGTGCCAAATTCTGCAAGGACCGCTCTGGGTTCGCGCACCACCCGGGATCGGTAAGCCGGGTCTTTGTACCACTTTGGCGGCAGCCCAAGCACCGCCCAGGGGTAACAGGAACACAATGTACAGACAACCACATTGTGAATCTGCGACGTATTTTCAAGCACAACAAGCTTATCCACCTGACCGCCGCTGAACTCGAATTCATTCACAACAGCAGTTGCATCCGTCAGCAAACGCTTCTTGAAGGCCTCATCTGACCAGGCGTGTGCAACCAGTTGGGCGCCGTTCATAGGTCCAACGCGTTCGTTGTAACGCACGATGACATCGTCGATAAGATCCGCATCGAGCAGGCCTTTTTCAATCAACAGACTTTCCAGCGCCTGGGCACGGATAGCCGCAGTGGTCTGACTCATGTGCTTACGCCTCCTCGACTAAGTGCAGATAAGGTTCAAACAGATCCAGACACACTTCCAGATCGTCTGCACCCTCTCCCCATAACTCCTGCGCATCAAAACAAATGGTATACAGATGTTGAGGCTGTTCGCCCTGACCGTGGGCATTGGTGTCCGGATACACCCAGGACCCATGCAGTGCCACTACCGTACCCAATCTACCGCGCGCATAAGCCGGCAGCCTGGTATGCCCGGGTACCGGGAACATGCTTGTCAGCACGCAGTCACCGATGGAAAACCGCGCGGGGGCATCCGAGTTTCGCTCTGCCGTTGGCCGAGACTCACGGGCCGGACTGACGGCGTTGTTGGTTTTCTGTTCAGTCCGCGCCAGACCATCATCATGCATTGGCCGCGCAGCCACCCGCTCGTTGCCCTGCGCACCAAAAGTCACGGCGCGGTCGGTAATCTGTTGTTGTTCGAGAACACCGCCTTCCACCAGCAGGTTTTCAGCAGCGCCGAGCCACCGTCCATAATAACCGTCATCGAGATAGCTGATGGGGTCTATACGTTCAACGGCATGCCTGAAATGATCGGCATTATGCATAACACCGGCAGCAGCAAGGCTATTGATCATTGTGAATACGCTGCCGTGCCAACGCTGGGAAAACCCCTGCCCAGGGTCATCGGGATCAACGGCATCAAAACCATGTTTGCCACCCAGATCGTGTATGCCGTCCATCTACGCCTGCCTCCCGCCAACCAGCTCAAGCAATGTCGGTACGCCATCACCACCCGCCTTGAAATCCATCATGAAACGGTGATGGCCACTGTGCACTCTCTGTTCTATTTCGTCCGGCATGATCACCTGCGCTTCGCACCCTGGTGGAACCAGCAACTCCAGTTCAAAACGATCTTCTTTTATCCACCAGCTGACATCAAAACGCCCCATCGGGGTGCGCAACGATGCCTCTACAAATTGTACCGGCGCACCTGCCAGAAACTGTTTCCCTAAAGGCGGTCGAGGACGTACACGAACCGCACGGAAAGCATTTTTATCTATTGCATAATCATCCTGTAATTTAATCCCAACCAGCGACTCCAGCAGCCAGGTCAGAACCCCGACGTTAGCCATTTCGGGACAGCCTGGCTGCCGAGCGACCAGACGATCTCCGGCATGAACCGCCGCTAACCAGCTTGGCGAACTGGTCTGTAACAAGACCATATACGCAATATCCAGACGCTCGGCTGCAGTTAATACCGGCAGCAGGTGTGGCAGCACAAGGGGTGCAGCAGAACTGTGATAATTCTGCTGTTGAAGCAGTTCAACCAGGCGTTGCTCGGCGCGCTGCCGTTCTTTGTCTTCCAGCAAACCAAAGTGCAATACTGCGATATAAGCTGATTCTGAGTCACACGCCAAATGCCCATCTCCGGTGAGATAGCGTTGGCGAAACGCCTGGCGCACCTCGCTCGCCAGACCGTGCAGCAACTCATGATCACTCAGCAAAGCCAGCACACTGGCCATGCGCGCCAGACAACGCAACGCGTCATAAATCGTGCAACTGGCCACCAGCGGGTTTGTTGCACCGTCACCATACAGAGAGGTGTTGCTCGGGGCGCGCAGTAGATGTGTTTTGGCATGCCTATAACTCAGCGCGATGGCTCGCAACTGTGGATACGCACGTTCAAGTACCTGCACATCGCCGTGGCTGCGGTAATGTTGCCAGACCGTCGCCACCAGCGCTTCGAACTCAGCAAATTCGTCGTAGGGTAAACATTCGTCTGCACCCACTACTGCAGGTACCAAAGGATTACTGCTCGCAGGCGCACCGCGCGCGGGCATCAGCTTGGCAAGCGCGTCCTCAAGCCACTTCAGCACCAGAGCGGGACTTCTGTCCTGACCAGCAAAATAGGGCATCCAGGTGCCCGCAGCAGTAAAGTCGGGCAAGCGATCTGCCAGCGCAACACCTTTCATCGGCACAGTAAATGCTGCGCTTCTAAAACTGTTATCAATGATTTCAAACAACTGATTCAAAGTGGCATGGTCAGTGCGCACACTCACAGGACTCGACTCCAGCGCAGCAATGCGCAACGCTGTGGCATGGCTGACCTCGGTCAAGTGGGGCGTGAACTCCACTTTCAGATAACGAAACGAATGCAGCGCAAACAGTCCTTCATGACTGGTAGTCGCATCCGCAACTGTTATAAGACTATCCTCGCTGGCATTGGTAAACGACTTATCAAGACTGTAGTGCAGCACCAGCATGTCACTTTGACGACACCTTAGAGACAAATTCACCCGACCAACCAGCTGATCCCCAAAATCAAACAATGCCGTACTGCGTCCCGCAGCCTTAGTGACCAACGGTTCGGTCATGGGGCGCAGCGCCTGTGTCACGCCAAAGGAAGCATGCGGCAGACTTCTCAGATCCGGGTTGAAGCTGATTCTTTCTACCGGCTGCCAGCCCGCGTCATCAAAACCCGGCTCCGTCCAACCCTCAAGCAATTGCGCAGCATCAGCATGCTCCCCAGCGTTGATATCCGCAGCCAGCAGATGGCTGGGTGCCCAGCGCCACTGCTCATCAGAATTGACTTCGAACTGCTCCCCATCCGCCAGCGTGGTGACAAGGCGCAGACGCAGATAAGGTCGATTGCCATATCGGGCTCTACCCAAACCGGGTAAAGCACCGGCAAAATAGCCATCACTGAGCAACACAGCCACCGCGTTGGGTTCGGCCAGAAGCCGTTCAGTGACATCAAAACTCTGATAAAAAACTTTTTCCCCGAATGCGGTCCAGCTTGCGTGACTGCCCGCGGGAACAACAGACACGCCGTTTACATAAAGTTTGAAGTCACCCGCTACGGCGATGTAGAGTCGCGCTTTGGCTACCGGCTGAGTAATCAGGAAATCTCGACGCAGACCCACAGCGTGGACGCCCCGTCGAGCACTGCCCTGCAACGCGCCGGCAATCCAGGGTCCATGCCAGTCTGCGTCTTGCAGAAGGCCCATTTCGAAGCTGGCTGGATCACTCCAGTCGCCAGGTACGCCATCACTGTCGCAGGTGCGTACTTTCCACCAGGCTTTTTGCCCGGCAGCAAGGCGGATGCCGCGATATTCAACGTTCAGAGTCTGATGGGTTTCAACGCGGCCACTGTGCCAGAGATCACCCTGGTCCTGATTCAGGAGCGCAAGTTTGGAAGCGACAAGGATCTCGTAGGCCGACTGAACTTCAGCAGGCCGTGAGTCGTTCACCCACCATGAAAAGCGTGGTGATGTGACATCCACGCCCAATGGATTTTGCATGAACTCGCAGCGAAGCCGGAGCGGAGCGCTTGGCATTGTCGCTGTGATTCCCCGTTCAATATGGAGCCGCTAGTTTGCGCCAGCGATCTGCCACACGCAAGAATTGTCGAGGATAAAGACGCTATCCAAGCCTATAAATAGTCATCCAGCAAAGCCTGCTGACGGGTGGCAAAAACATCACGAAGCAAACTCACCAGCAGTTGCACCCTACGGGCATTGCGCAACTCCGGGTGGGTCAGCAGCCACAGAGTCGGACTTTTCTGCACAGGCATCTGCGGCAACCGTTGCAGCTGCTCAGGCTCAGGCCATTGCCCTTGATCAGCACTGAGATAACAAGGCAACACACCAACGCCCATATGCACCCGAATGCAGGTCTGCTGCATAAAAACCTGATCGCAGCGAATACGTACCCGACTCTGAGCAAAATACCGTTCTCGCAGGCTGGCGTAGAAACCCATCACCTCGCCACGTGCTGCCCAGTCAATCCAAGCAAGACCAGCAGCATCTTCTGAGGAGACGTCATGCTCGGCAATATATTTACGACTGCCATAGACCGCCACAGCCACCTGATACAGGGGTCTGCCAACCATTGTGTCCGGCGGGGTTTCCGTCGCCAGAATAGCAACATCAACGTCGGCATTGGCAATATCGAGGTTGCCATGTACAGGAATGATTTCCAGCTCAATTTCATCATACTGTTCACAGAACTGCGCCAGATCGGCCAACACAAAACTTACCGCGAGTACATCAGGCACAGCCAGGCGAATCTTGCCTTCCAAACGTTGATTTCGCCCCTGTAACTGAGCATCCAGCTGATTAAGCTGCTCACCAAGAACATCAATCTGCCTGGCAACGTCAGCGCCTTCGGCGGTGATCTGCAAACCTGTATTTGTGCGCAGAAACAACATAACCCCCAACCGCGACTCAAGCGCTTCCAGACGTCGGGTAACCGTTGACGGATTCACCTGCAACTCGCCAGCTGCACCACGGACGCTACCCGCTCGAGCTACCGCAGCAAAAAAGCGAAAGTCGTCCCAGTTCATGACATATACCCCTCGGCAGCTGTTGTTTTTCAGATCCTTCTGACAGCCCAAGAGTAGGGCCATCGTTGCATAAACGCAACGTTACGTTGCGTTACTTAGGGTTGCATTTATTGTTACCCAAAGTAACATACTCCCCATCGAACAAAAACAGTTCCGCGAGGGTCATCCGATACCCCCCTCCCCTCCCCTCCTCGGATGCCCCTCTTATCTTCAAGAGTAGAAGTGGCTGGAGATCCTTAGAAAGATCTCAGCCCTTCTACTCTTCTCATTTACACAAACAAAACCAGCCCCAGCCACCCCACTAGCCCGACAATAAAATGCGCTACCATTCATTGTGCGCATGACTTACCAGCACCTGACCCTGACAAAAAGTGGCCATATCGCATGGCTCACCTTCAACCGTCCAGGCAAAGCCAATGCCCTGCACTACGATCACCTGCTTGAGATAGAAACCGCTGTACTGTCTCTGCGGGACGATCCACAAACCCGGGTGGTGGTATTTACAGGCGCAGGCAAACATTTCTCTTCAGGTGCGGCCATGGGTCGCGGCGCATGTATCTCCAGCGCGTGCGATTTTCGAATCGGCTCTGACAACTGCTTTATGCAGTATCCGGAAGTAGACATTGGTCTGAATCTGATGTGGAAAAGTCTGCCGCTCATTATCCATCTGGCTGGCCCCGCCCGCGCAAAAAGACTGGTCATCGGCGGCGAGCGCATCGAAGCACCCGAACTGCTCAACTGGGGCATCCTGGACAAACAGGTGCCACTTGCAAACCTCTACGATGCGGCAGATAAAATGGCTCAGCACTACGCAGACAAGCCACCCATCGCGGCGCAAATGATCAAGCGCTCTACGAATCAGATCTGCAACGTCTTGAATGGCGCGCTGATGCATATGGACGCTGATCAAAACCTGCTGGCGGCCAGTACAGACGACCGAACGGTCGCTGTACAAGCCTACTTGAAGAAAGAAAAACCTACTTTCAAGGGATCCTAAAGCACATCGTCAGGACTGGTGTCCACAGATATGTTCTGTCGCTTCTCAACATACACGGCGACGCCGAGCAGAGACATGCCCAACACCCCAAGGGTAATCCAATGCGTAAAGTCAATGTAACGACCTAACTCGGGCAACTGTGCTAAAACCGATGCCAGCATCATTCCAGCGCCAATCACAATTACCGGCGGGTTGATCAACTGCCGTCCACATAGACCCACAAACAGTCCTGCAAACACGCCCGCGCCAGCGGCGAGCCAGGCATCACTGAACAGTAGATTCACAATCACGGCAATGGCTACACAGAGACCGGCCAGCACCTCAAAACCAGATTTCACTCTGGGATGGACGCTACCGCTCCAGAACAATGCAAAACCGATCAGCAAGCCGCCAAGGGACAGTATCAGCTCATCAGCAAGCAAAGGATCAAGCAGCGACAGTGTCGCCATTCCCACGCCCGTAAAAACAGCAAGGCCGGCGACACTTAAAAGCGGCCGATAAAACGATTTCGACAAGTCCTGCAGCCGCAGCAGGTGGATACCCACAAAACTTATGCTCAGCAACATCCAGGACAACAGAACGTCCGCTTCATAAAGCCAGAACAACCGAGCCAGCATGACAATCGCTGGAAAAAACAAACTCAACAGCGCAAATCGACCTTCCGATGTTGCAAAGACAATATGGCTCCTAAGCGCCCGGATAGTGTAATAACATGGCAGCACCAGACTGATGAGAATGGTCAGCCCCAGCGGCCATGACTCTCGTGCAGGCAGGCAGATCAACAGACTGCTGAACGCAAACAGCAAAGACAATTGCCTGGCCCGGGCGCGAGCAAGCACCCGATAGGCCATCCAGGTAACGGGGGCAAGGGTGAGCAGCACTATGCTGAACATCATCCCTAATTGGCCAGGCGTGTAAGACTGCAGAGCAACCGTATCAACCCACCATCCGCCGCCAGGCTGCGACCCGGAGAAGGAAATAATTTCTTCCAACAAACCGCCTAAGGTTGTCAAACTGGCCACCACCGCCACCAGACCAAGACTGACAAAGACACGGGCACCTTTCTGCTCTCGCAGCTGCGCACTGATCGCAAAACCAGTGAAGGCAAACGCGCCTGTGACAGCCAGCAGAACATACAATCGACTCAGGTCACCCCAGGCGCTCCAGCCTTCAAGCAGATGCGAGCACAAACCCGCAACGACCACGAGCGCACCCAATGTTCGCAGGACGCCCGCAAGGGACGTCCTCTTCAGCTGATTTATATAAGAAGTCATCGCTAAACCCCCGTGTCAGAGGGTTTATCAGCTTCAGTAGCGTCTTTTAGAACAGCTGCCAGCTCTGCCTGTAGTGACAACTGCTCCTCTTCATCATTCAGGCCGCGCTCAAAATCATCTGTTGGCGCAACCACCGGGGTGATGTATTCATCCGCCAGAAGGCGAGCTTCCCAACGCGCGTAGACCGCATCAAGTCCATCACAGTCCTGATCCTGAAGGCGACGTAAAGCACCCTGCGCATTGCTGACCGCATCGCGCGTGCGCAATACGTCGCGTTTCTGTGTCAGAGACAGCAGCCGCTCATCCATCTGCGCAACACTGGCACCCAGCTGCTGAACTCGAGCGTCGTACTCTGCCAAAACAGTTTCGGTCTGAGAGATCTGGGTTTGAGCGTGACGCCGGCGCCGCAGACACTCCAGCGCTTTACCTTCATCTTCGTGACCGATTTTCGCCGCACGTTCAGCCCAGCGCCGGGCTACTTGTTGCAGGCTCTCGAGTTTCGCCGCGAGTTCGTCCCGATCCCGGGCCAGCGCCGCAAGTCTGACTTTCGCCTCAGCGGCATTTTTGCGGACCTGTCGCAGCGTGGCTTGTGCCACGGCATCCTGATTTTCAAGCTGATCGACCACCTTATCGATAGATTGGGTGACCGTGGCGGTGACTCTTTGAAATAGGTTCATCATCTTTACACTCGTTATTGAAGGAGTGCTGATGATGGAGGAAGAAGCGATTTACGGTACTATTCTGAGAAAAGTAGCTTTATTGGCCACAAAGAGAATCTTATTTTGATACTTTCAGCAAGTAATCACCAGGACAGCGTCAAGACCTCAGCCCCTACCGAGAGGTTGGGCACCCGGCCAAAACGACAACTTGCGCCGCTGGTACACTCGCCGGTGTGCACACTGAACGTATAGCCATGCCAGGGACAGCGAACTTCACCTGCAGGGCTGAGTTCTGAGGCAAGCGGGCCCATCTGATGAGGACAGGCCGCCGGGTAAACAACCCACTGCCCGCCGGTTCGATTAACCAGAAAATCACGCTGAGATAAGCTCACAGGCAAAGGCAATTGCGCGTCGTCAGGCAGCGGTATGGATAATGTGTCTGCCACACGCGGGCCGTCCACACGCATATCCAGCTGGCGCTGGCGCTCGGTCATCATTTCCACGTCTTCGTCATACAGACGCTCATATGCAGTAGCGTAAGCACGCCCTACTTTTTCCCTTGCCTCAGGTTCCACTCCAGGCACAAAAAAATCGATGACCAGATCAAGTTGATGAGGTGCGGTGACAAACACATGGGTCCAGATCTCCGCACCCTGACTGGGGCCTTCAATATTGCGGGTAATCCAGCGCCGACAGTCTCGATCCAGTCGCAGTTCCAGCAAACTTTCGCGGCCGCGGGGATCTTTCACCCGAGCGCGCCAACCCCAGCCACCTGCATCCAGACACTCAATGTCTGTGAAACTTGAGTCATGCAGATGAGGCAGGTGCTCCCAGTCCAGCGCGTTTTCATACATACGATCCAGCGAAACCGGCAAGGAGCGCGTATAGGTACCCATATGATCCACTCTTGAATCTTTGTTGGGTGGACTAAACAAGTACCTCAAACCAGCCTCGGTGCGTCTATTTATTTGAACTGAGCGCTTTGCTCAGCGAAAATGAAAAGTGTTGGCCATCAATTTCTGTCACGGTGGCACAGGGCTCGTCCTGCGCAACAGAAGTCAGCGCCAGTGTTTCAGCCATAATGTACGCCTGGTGCTCGCTCGCTGCCAACAGCAAATCTTCCTGGGCGTGGTAACGCACATCGATACGATCGCTGACCTGGAAGCCCTGCTCCTTTCGTGCCCGCTGAATCCGATTCACCATTTCCCGCGCATAGCCGCCGCGCACCAACTCGGGTGTCAGCTCACAATCAATATCTACAGCAATGCGGCTATTAGATACCGTATTTGTACCTTCGCGCGCCTGCTGCAGCACCTGTATCTCCTGCAGATCAAAGGTTTCACCCAACAGGGTTACACTTCCGGAAGCCTGCAGCGCAGCTATTGCATCAGCATCCATTGCATTGATGGCCTGCTGGTAGGTCTTCATTTGCTTACCCAGACGCTTACCCAGTAGAGGAAAATTCGGTTTAGCCACCAGCTCAATGAAAGCAGACTCATCTGATGAGTATTCGACTTCCCGAATATTCAACTCGTCCGCAATGTAACCCTCCAGCGCACCCATCTCCTGCAACAGGTTCTGATCACGATGCACCACAATGAGTTTCGACAAAGGTGTGCGCAAACCAATTTTCACATCTTCGCGTTTCTGTCTGCCTAACAGGATAACCTGCTGCATACGATCAACCGCTGTTTCCAGACCGGGCTTCACAAAGCTTTCTTCGGCCTTCGGATAATCGCAAAGATGTACAGAATGCGGCTGCGGGTTCTTGCCGGTCAGTCCTGACAATGCACGATAGAGGTACTCTGACAGGAAGGGTGTAAATGGCGCCATCACCAGCGATAACTCCATCAGCACTGTGTACAAGGTACTGTAGGCTGAGATTTTATCTGCAGTTACCTGTTCACCCCAGAACCGGGCACGATTGAGACGGATGTACCAGTTGGTGAGGTCTTCAATGAAGGCGAACAATTCGGGGACAACATTATAAAGTCGGTAGGATTCCATCTGCGTCGCGATGTTCAACTTCAAAGTCTGCAGCCGTGACATTAACCACTGGTCCAACACATTGTCGCCAAAGTGCATGCCTTTATCCGGCGCCCAGTTATCAATGGCCGCATAGGTCTGCAGAAAAGAAAACGCGTTGTACCAGGGCAACAGCGCTCGCCGGGTCATATCGCGCACGCCGGAATCTGCAAACCGCTGCTCTTCACCTCGCACCAGCCCTGAGTTAATCAGATACAGGCGCAGCGCGTCAGCGCCGTATTTTTCCATCAACTCATCTGGCGGCGTGTAATTACGCAGCCGCTTCGACATCTTCTTGCCGTCTTCGGCCATGACCATGCCGTTAACAATGACGTTACGGAACGCCGGCTTGTCATAAATTGCAGCCGCCAGCACGGTCAATGTATAGAACCAGCCACGGGTCTGATCCAGTCCTTCAGCAATAAATTCTGCGGGGAAGCCCGCTGCAAACATGTTCTCATTTTCAAAAGGGTAATGCAGCTGCGCATAAGGCATGGAGCCCGATTCAAACCAGCAATCCAACACTTCTTCTATGCGGCGATAGGTGCCTTCCTCGCCATCCAGCTGAAAGGTCAGCGGATCCACAAATTCGCGATGCAGGTCGTCCACCGTCACACCACTATACTGTGCAAGCTCTTCAATCGAACCCATACACACGGCATTACCAGTGACGTCGTTGATCCAGATGGGTAGCGGCGTACCCCACACACGATTACGCGAGACAGACCAGTCTATAGCGCCTTCCAGCCAGTTTCCAAAGCGCCCGTCTTTTATGTGCTCCGGCACCCAGCGGATCTGTTGGTTGGCCTTGAGCAACTTGTCACTGATAGAAGTGACAGCAACATACCAGGAAGGAATAGCGCGGTAGATCAGCGGCGTGTCGGAACGATAGCAGTAAGGATAGCTGTGCTGAATCACCTCCTGACGATAGAGCATGCCACTGTCTTTGAGGTATTTGATAATGTCTTTATCTGCTTCTTTAACATGCTGGCCGGCAAAATCCGACACTTCATCGGTGAACTCGCCGGAGAGCGTCACCGGACAGACAAACGCTTCAATGTCATGCGCCCGTGCAACCCGGTAGTCGTCTTCACCAAACGCTGGCGCCTGATGCACAATGCCGGTACCGCTGTCCGCAGTGACGTAATCGTCACTCACCACCACAAAAGCGCCGTCGTCCCCCAGCCCGGCAAAGTATGGAAACAGCGGCTCATAGCCCAAACCCACCAGGTCTTTACCTTGCACCTGCTCGAGGATTTCCATTTCGCCATAGTGCGGCAGACGCTCGGCTGCCAGGTATATCTCCTGGCCGGTTTCCGGATCGCGCGCCAGCACATAATCAATATCATCACCTACACACAGAGCGAGGTTGGAAGGCAGGGTCCAGGGGGTGGTTGTCCAGGCTGCAAGATAACGATCCTGCCCCTTGATTTTGAACAGCACGGTGACCGCCGGATCCTGCACATCCATGTAATTGGAGGTCGCCTCAAAGTTCGACAGTGGCGTACCCAGGGCGGTGGAAATAGGCATCACCTTCACACCCTGATAAATCAGGCCTTTATCCCACAGCTGCTTGAAGACCCACCACACGGATTCCATATACCAGGCGTCCATGGTTTTGTAGTCATCATCAAAATCAATCCAACGCCCGAGCCGGGTAATGGTATGGCGCCACTCCGCCACATAGCGCTGCACAATTGCACGGCACTCATTGTTGTAGCCGGCAACACCCAGCTTTTCCACCGCCTGGGCTGCGGACATGTTGAGCTGCTTATCAATTTCGTGTTCGATCGGTAGACCGTGACAGTCCCAGCCAAAACGCCGCTGCACATAACGGCCATTCATGGTCCAGTAGCGCGGCACAATGTCTTTAATCGTGCTGGCCACGAGGTGACCATGGTGCGGCAACCCGGTTGCAAAGGGTGGGCCGTCATAAAAGATATAAGGCTTTTTATCTTTGGTGTTTTCTAAAGAGCGTGCAAACGCACCTGTGGTTTCCCACAATTCAAGGATGTCGTGCTCCATGGAGACGAACGAGAATTGCGCCTGATCACCTGACTGCGACATTGGAATTAATTACGCCGGATAAAAGAGGCGCGTATCTTACCGATGGGATGGCCAACTTGCATCTGCCATAAAAACCCTTCCGCTAAGTCAGATGCCTGGCAATTCATCACTTCTTTTAGCCCGAGTCGGGTTCTGGTAGCGTACAACGGATATCATTCGCAGGGTCGAAGCCCAATGTACCGCTTTTTCATGATACTGCTATCGATGGCTGTTCCGATCATGAGCCACGCGGCCCAGAGCACAGCACCCTGGCTGCAGCCCGAAGTTCTCAAGGCAGCTGTTAATATTGGCCTTACCGACGAGCAGCTACCTCTTTTTCGAGAGGCCATTACTCACCTTGCGCAGAATCAAACCTCTGCAACGAACAAATTGCTGAGACAAAACAACATCGCGGACCTGGAGCGCAAGCTCACAACCGTGACCAACCGGCAATTTAAGAAAATGGACCATGAAATGAGCGCATTCCTGACCAGCGCGCAGTTGCCCAGATATGACATTTACAGGAATGTGCTGCGCGAACACCTGACGCGGTCAACCACAACAAGGGCTGGAAGCAGCAGCGCATCGGTCAACGATACTGAAAGAACCCTGGATCAGGGAGCGGTGCAGCATCATTAATTAGCGCGATTAGCCGCCCTGCTCAACGTAATTCTTTAGCGCGCTATTCATTCTGGAAAAATTATCTTCCACCGCGGGGCGGATGCGACCGAGAATATCGTCGGCTAATTCACCCGTAAAGTGCTCAAAATGCTCTAGAAAAACGCGATCTCCTTGATCCTTAAGGACAAACCAGTGCTCGCCGCGGAACAGGTTCAAGTCCTCCAGCCCGCCGATCCATATCATCTCATAGGGTTCCACACGCTCGGCCTTGACCTCCAGGGGCGTCACATCACCTGCAGCGCTGGTTGCAATAACCCTAAACGTCTCACCCTGGGCCAAAGTACCACGGGAATGCTTTAGATAAGGGTTCCAATGGTTATAACCGGGGAGGTCAGTCAGCACGTCCCAGATTTTCTCTATCGGCGCAGTGATGACTATCTGCGTTGAAACGGTAAGCACTGAGCAACTCCAAATTACTTGCGAAACATTATTTTATGCATAAACCAAACAACAAGCATTAGCTCCGATAAGTATGAGTCGACCATAGCCAAATATCCCCCTATATGGCGGTTGAACTTCCCTTGCACCTGACTTATCTTATTCAAACTTAAATTAGTGTTTTATAAATGGAATTGGCGTATTCACCAATTACCCAATGAAACCGGGGGCAATCAGATGAATATCAGCCGCAAACACTTACTCCTTTACTCCTTACCAGCGCTCCCTTACTCCATCGCTTACATGCCAGTGGTTAATTTCATCCCGAGTTTTTACTCAAACGATCTAGGGGTGTCGCTCGCAGTCGTCGGCTTTGCAATTTTTGCCACCCGCATTTTCGACATCATCACCGACCCCCTCATTGGCGTTTTAAGCGACAACTCTAAATCCCGATTCGGTCGACGTAAGACCTATGTTGCGGCTGGCATTCCGCTACTCATGCTCGCAGTCTGGATGTTGTTTGTGCCTAGCGACAACCCCGATGGGATGTACCTGTTTGTCTGGTTTTTCATCCTCTATTTTGCCTACACACTTATCGACATCCCCTACCGAGCCTGGGGCGCGGAATTGTCCAAAGACTACGATGACCGCTCGGTTATTAAAGCCTGGCGAGGTGGCTTCGAGATGGCTGGCACATTAGCTGCCCTCACCGTTGCAATTATCCTGACGCAGATGGGTTATCCCGGCACGGCAACGACCATGCTTGCACTGGCGGTCATCTTCCTTATTTTTCAACCGCTATCTTTCGGTTTGACACTGAAACTCCTACCCGAGGCCGAACCGGAGCGGATTACGCAGGAGCAAGGTACGTGGAAAGAAAAAGCCATGGTGCTGGTCAACAACGGCCCTATGATCAGGCTCGCCATCGGCTTCACAGCGCTCATGATGTCACTGGTTATCGCGGCTTCACTAAACCTGATCTTTATGACCGAAGTCATTGTTCGGCCAGATGCATTTCCAATCGCACTTTTTCTGCAGAACATCATTGGCATTGCAGCAATACCTGTATGGCTTAAGGTTTCTGAACGTTATGGCAAACACCGAGCATTCGCAGCCACTGTGCCTCTATTGATAATGATATGTGCAGGGTTTTTCTTCCTCGAAGAAGGTGATGTGGTGCCAGCGGTCATTCTGATTGCGCTCGAAGGTGTAGGGTTGGGTGCCTGGTTTTTCCTTGCGCCTTCCATGCTGGCTGACGTTGTTGATCTGGATAAGACAAAAACAGGCGAGGAGCGAACCGGCCTGTACTTCTCGGTCTTCGGCATGATCAACAAAGCAGGTATCGCGCTGGGCATACTGGTTGGAACGTCACTGCCTCCGTTATTTGGTTTTGAGCCTTCGGACCCGGTGCATACTGAAGAAGCCATGCTTGGATTCAGAGCGGTATTTTCTTTTGCAGGTGCGCCATTGGCGCTCCTGGCGATGGCGCTCTTCTGGAACTATCCGATTTCAAGAGAAGTACAGCAGTCTTTGCGCGGCGAGATCGACGCCAAGCTTACAGAAGTGACAGCTAATGCGGCCATCAAACCCTGACCACATGAATTCACGGCACATCCTCAGCACAGGGCTCAAAATCTGCGAACTGGGGATGGGCTGCGCGGCACTCGGCAACCTCTATACACGCATCGACGATCAAGACGCCGCTGACACTCTGAGCGAAGCATGGCGCAGCGGCATGCGCTACTTCGATACGGCGCCTCACTATGGGCACGGCCGCAGCGAGGTGCGGCTGGGCCACTTTTTACAAAACCAGAAAAGAGATGAGTTTGCGCTATCAAGCAAAGTGGGTAGAACGCTGATTCCGGTTGAAGCCGGGCAAGAGCCAGACCACGGCTTTATCGACCCACTACCTTTTCGACAGGTGTTCGACTATTCCGCAGAAGGCGTGTTTGAACAGGTAGCGTCAAGCGCGCAACGTCTGGGTGTTGAAAACTTCGACATACTATATGTCCATGACATAGGCCGACTCACTCACGGCAGCACTCACGCCAGAATAATGAAACAGGCGCTGGATGGTGCTTTTCCGGCGCTTGCTCAATTGAAGGAACAAGGCCGAGCAAATGCGATTGGCATTGGCGTCAATGAAATTGATGTGTGCCTGGAAGTTCTGGAAAAAACCGATATCGATGTAATACTTCTAGCCGGCAGATACAGTTTGTTAGAGCAAGAGCCGTTACAGAAATTATTTCCCCTCTGCGCCGAAAAAGGTGTCAGCATCGTGATTGGCGGTCCCTACAATTCCGGCCTCCTCGCCGGCGGCAGTCACTACGACTACATAGCGGCACCTAACGCCATTATGGCTCGTAGGGATAAACTGGCGGAAGTCTGCCTGCAATTCGATGTGCCGTTGGCTGCAGCCGCCTTGCAGTTTGTGCTGGCGCATCCTCTGGTTGTATCCGTCATACCTGGTGCGCGAAGTGCAACGGAAGTGAAGCAGAACAACGAATTTCTAACCAAGCCGATTCCCACGGCGCTGTGGACGACACTGAAAGAAAAAAAACTGCTCCACAAAGATGCATCAGTTCCCACCCAACCATAACGGCTCTGATAAGAGGAGAATGACATGCAACGCGTTGCAACCATTATAAAAGTCAAACCCGAAAAAATCGCAGAGTACAAAACCCTGCACGCAGATGCCTGGCCAGAGGTGCTTGCCACCCTGAAGGCTGCAAACGTGCAGAATTATTCTATTTTCCTACGCGATGACCGGCTATTCAGCTATATGGAATATACGGGCAGCGACTATGAAGCTGATATGGCCAAAGTCGCCGCGAACGAGGCCACAAAGCGCTGGTGGATACTCACAGACCCCTGCCAGGAGCCTGTCGACACCGCGGAACCAGGTGAATGGTGGGCGCCGATGGAAGAGGTCTTCCACCTGGACTAGCGGGCAATCGGGTTAGCCTGCTGCATCCTTTATTTTTATCACTGCCTTGAGCGAACGCTTTGCATTGATATCGTCAATTGCAGACTGAAACTCAGTCAGCAATTTCGGCGCAGTGACATCAAACCAGATACTCGCATCCAGCTGACCCGCCTGCAGGAGCTCAACAACCTTTGTGTGCGCTTCAGCTTCACTGTACTCGCCAGGGCCGTGGACCGTAACACCGGCATCTGCAAGCACTTTGAGATAAGCCATGCGATCACCCAGATCTTCTATTCCATAGATCCCAACCCTTCCGTCAGGCGCAAGAAAGGGCATCATTTTTTCAAGTGCACCGGTCCTGCCTACCGCATCTATGACCAAATCAAAACCACTACCTGCTGCTGCGGCTACATCCTGCTCTAATGAAGATGCCCTGTAGTCGAGTAACGCATCAATTCCAGCCTTTTCACAAGTCGTCTGCCAGTGCGGATTACCGATCATGGTGACAGTGCCAGCGCCAAGCGCATTGGCCATGACTGCAAACGAAAATCCATTGCCACCAGACCCAATGATAAGCACAGATGCACCAGGCTTGACACCAAGCCTTGAGATATAGGAGTAGGTTTCGCGCCAGGTCACCATCATTGTTGCCGCGGCGGGATTGGTGCCCTCTGGCAGCACCTGATTAATCATGTGTGCAGACCACTGCTCCTCATCGACGCCATCGTCGCGCATAGCCAGCCCATCTGTAGCGATACCATATTCAGAAAACCCACCCCAGAACGCAGGCAGGTCATCAGAACCCGGATAACCCGTGCGTGTAATGAGATCCCCTATCTCGAAGTGTTTGACCTTGTTGCCCACTTTTACAACACGTCCGATGGACTCGTGCCCAAGAATAAGTGGGTAAGATATGCCAGGAATTGGCAAATTCCCGGCAATAAGATGCCCGTCCGTGCCTGCACAGACTGCACCGAAGAGGTTTTCGCAAAGCACCTGATAATCCTCTGTCTCCGGCACGGGCAACTCACGAAGCTCCAGTGAACCAGGCTCAACCACTATGGCTGCTTTCATATTTGTTTCCTGAGATCTGTTAGATCGGTCCAGCCGGTGGCGAGCCTGGATAAGCGCGGCCAAACGGCAAAGCAAAAGGTTCATCATGCGGTCTGAATGGCACCATCGCCGCAATCTCGTTGATACGGCCTAACAAATCTTCTGGCAACGCACCCTTCTCGGCCGCCGCGACATTCTGCTCCACCTCAGCCGCACTACGCACACCACTTAAAACCGTATGCACATCCGGATTGGAGAGCACAAAACGCAGACCTAATTCGGGTAATGGAATATCAATTTCATCCAGCAGCGCATAAAGCGCTTGAAACTGTTCGCGACGCGGCTTTGATAGCCATGTTGCGCCGGTATCGACTTCGTCCCACTTGCGCGCCAACGCACCCTGCTGCAGAGGCGACCCAATAACGACACCTACATTGTGGTCACGCGCTGCGGGTAACAGCTCATGGACAGCTTCCTGCCACAGCATGCTGTAGTTAAACGCTGTCAGGACAACGTCAAACTTGCCGGTTCGCAACAGCGTTGCCATTTCATAGGCGGTTGTTCCACCAAGACCCAGGTATCGAATTCTACCTTCAGCCTTTAGTGACTCAAGCACTTCCATGACAGGACCTTCGGCCCTGCTGAAGTCGTCCCACCAATCAAACTGTCTGGGCCTATCGGGTTCGTGAATCATCAGGACGTCGATTTCATCGCGGCCTAAAAGACGGCAACTTTCTTCAAACGACTGACGAAGCGCTCTCGCGTCTTTGGCGTCAAAAGGCTGAGGCCTGGCGCCAAGCTTTGTTGACACCACCATCTTCGAATCGATCTGCGGCAGTATCTGACCTAAGACTTGTTCACTGTTACCGTACATCGGCGCAGTGTCTACGTAGGACACGCCCAGATCTACGGCTCTTTGAACCGCCTTTTTTGCGTCTTCAAATTCGGCCCCATAAGAAGACACGAAAAGGCCACCCAAACTCAGAGGGCCAACCCGCAAATCAGTTCTGCCCAATTTTACGTCACTCAACACTACCACTTACCGCCAATTTCAAAGCCGAATACACTGCCAGGGTGGACACTGCCCATTGACCAGAGATTGCCAACATTAGTGTGGCCATTAATGTACACCTCATCGGTAATGTTCTTACCAAAGGCGCTCACGTAAACCTCGTGATCACTGACTTCGAAAGCGTAGGTAACTGATGCATCCAGAATCGGCTCCGGCTCAACCAGACCGCGCGGATCATTAAACAGCGTGCCGCCTGCGTTAGCGCCCGGACTCAGATTCGATTGATAGTCATCAATATAGCGGTAGCTGATCAGCGCGCGGAGTTCACCTGGACCAACTTCCATCGCATATTGTGCAGTCACTGAAAACGTCCATTCCGGCGCGCGACGCATAATAATAAAAGGCGCGTTATCAATCCCATCAGATACAAACGAATTGTACTCAGCGTCCAGGTAGCCCACCGAACCGGAAAGCGTCAGATTATTAATCAACAAGGCCCAATCAATTTCCACGCCATCAATTTCTACGTTACCAGCATTATCAACCGCTGTAATTGTCGCACCGGTATTTGGATTATTGCGGATAATCTCTTCCTGTTTATCTTCATAATCTGTCTGGAAGTAAACTGCATTGAATCGCAACCGATTGCCCCACCACTGACTTTTTATGCCGATCTCATAGGAATCCACCAGTTCTGGATCATAAGGGCCAATAGTATCCTGAGAGTTGCCACGACCGTTGAAACCACCGGATTTAAAACCCTGTGCAAACGACACATAGGCCATCAAATCATCGCGCACGGTGTATTGGACAGAAACCTTAGGCGTGAATTCGGTCCAGGATTCGCTGCCTGCGGCAAAATTATCGAAACCTGGAGCATTTGGCCAGAATCCCCCGCCGACCTGGTTAAAACCGTTTCGGTAGATAAATTCGCGCTTCTCATAGGAGTAACGCCCGCCTAAAGACAGTTCGAGTTGATCTGTTAGGGCAATATTGGTTGTCGCAAAAACCCCCATATTCTTGGTTTCCTGCTCGCGAGATACAATCTCCGTGGTGCCTGGTGGAAAACCGAACAGGTCAAACACAAACAGAGAGTTTGCGCCGCGCAACCAGTCCGAAGCAGCCCCGTAAAACCCAAAAAGCATATTCAGATTTTCGGAATGATCATAACTGAGGCGAAACTCCTGGGAGATCGATTCTTCATCAGCAAATTGTTTTGATGCAAATACCGGTTGTGGTGCGCCGTCAAAGTCTGTTTCTCGATTCTCTTTGCTGCGACTCCAGCCGGTAATGGATTCAAACGTAATGGCGTCAACATCGAGTTTCATATGTATGGTCGCGGCATTCAAAGTGACTTTCTGGCCGGTCGGATGATCCTGGTTAACCTCTTCCAGATCTCGGTTCGGGTCATCACAAATGGGCACACCTGGCACAGCACCAGAAATGGCGCCTGCAGGGAAAAGCAAGCCAAGACAGGCTAGTTCACTTGGCCCGGAGGTGTTTATGGCCATCCCCCAGTCGCTTTCATTTTTGTAGTAATCGTAGGTCAGAGTTGCTTCGAATGAATCTGTGGGTGTCCATCGCACGCTGGGCGAGACTGCAAAAAAATCTCTGAAACCCCGGCTTTTACCATTGAATACATTGGTAAATGGACCATCATCTTCCAGATCAGCGACATAGATCCGAGCCGCTAAGATATCATCGATGATAGGTGCCTCAACCGACACGTGGATATCCCGTCGATCGTCGTCACCCATGGTTACCTTACCCTCAACACCAAATTCTCCGGTGGGTTTCTTACGGGTAACGCTGATGGCGCCGCCAATCGTATTAGCGCCAAAAAGCGTTCCCTGGGGCCCACGCAGTACTTCAATGCGTTCTACGTCCAGCACATTCAGCATTTGGTTGGCAGTAGATGAACCAAAGGTGACATCATCAACGACGACTTGGACACCTGGACTGAAAGTTCGATCAATATCAGACACGCCAATACCGCGGATCGTGATAGACGCACCACCTGACTGGAAATTCACCGGATCGATAAGCAGATTGGGCGCCAGACCCTCAAGATCTTCAAGATTAAAGGCCTGCCGCTCTTCAAGAAAAGCTCCGCTGAAGGTCGAAACCGCAACCGGTATATCCTGCGCGCTCTCCTCTCGCCTTGTTGCGGTTACGATGACTTCTTCAAGTACCGCCGGACCGGAATCACTTGCGGCCATCACCGGCTGACTAGTAAAAGCCCCGATAAAAGCCACGCTCGTGATTATGAGTCGGTTAAAACCCCCACTACAGTTCAACATTTCTGGTTCCCCTCACCTATTGTTGGTGCCCCAGTACAAGCGGGCATATCTCTCTACCATTCGCTAGTGAATTAGCGTTTCATAATTGCAACCATATTGTCAAGATCGACTTTCCATGTGATCATAATCGGTAATAACTGATTTCGCAGATGGTTATGGAGCGCTGTCTGAAGCCCAAAACATGCTTCAGACAGTCATCTGGCACCAAGTGGTTGGCCAATCGATGTTATGTTTAACTGGCAAAATAATATTTCATAAAGAGAAGATTCAGCATGACTACCTGCATAAGCGCCATCGAGGTTAACGATATCCGCTTCCCAACCTCGCGCTTCCTGCACGGCTCAGACGCCATGAATCCTGATCCCGACTATTCCGCCGCTTACTGCACCATCAGAACATCAGACGACACGCTCTATGGATGTGGACTTACCTTCACCATTGGACGTGGTACAGAATTATGTGTGGCCGCAATTCAGGCGTTAGCACCCAGAGTTATCGGCCTTAAACTGGACGACATCGAAGCAGACCTCGCGGGATTCTGGAGGTCAATTGTAGGTGACAGCCAGCTGCGATGGCTGGGGCCCGAAAAAGGTGTTGTGCATCTGGCTGCGGCAGCTGTGGTCAACGGAGTCTGGGACTTACTCGCAAAACGCGCGGACAAACCTCTGTGGCGCTACCTGACCGATATGTCGCCGGAACAGTTGGTCAGTGCCGTCGACTTTACCAACATCCGCGATGTTATGGACGCTGATCGAGCACTGGATATTCTCAAGCAACAATTGCCGCATAAAGAGGCACGTATCCAAGAACTTGCCAGAATAGGTCACCCTGCCTACACAACTTCAGCGGGGTGGCTTGGCTATCCTGATGAGCAGATAGAAAAACTCGCACGGCAGGCAGCGGCTGAAGGGTGGCGAGCCATTAAAATTAAGGTTGGCCGGGACCTACAGGACGATATTCGCCGCTGCGCTCTGATCAGGAAAATACTGGGCGACGACCTGCTACTCATGATCGATGCCAATCAGGTCTGGGAAGTAGACCAGGCCATTGACTGGGTTAATACGTTGGCACCCTACAAACCACATTGGATCGAAGAACCGATAAATCCTGACGACATCCTCGGCCACGCAAGAATCAAACAAGCCGTCGCACCGATAAAAGTTGCCACTGGGGAACACTGCCACAATCGGATCATGTTCAAACAATTTCTGCAGGCGGACGCCATCGACTTTGTACAGATTGACGCTTGCCGCCTGGGCGGAGTCAATGAAGTACTTGCCGTCCTCCTGATGGCGGCAGCCTATGACAAACCCGTCTGCCCACATGCAGGCGGGGTCGGCCTATGCGAATACGTTCAACACCTTTCATACTTTGACACTATTGCCATATCGGGCGGCAACAACGGACAGATGATTGAACATGCCGGCCATCTTCACGAGCATTTCATTGATCCAATCAGGATCAGCAACGGGCACTACGTAATGCCGGAGTTGCCTGGCTACAGCGTTGAAATGCACGCGGAAAGTATTCGGACATACGAATTTCCAAACGGGAGTGCCTGGCAACAATGAGCCAACCACAACCGCTTGTAATTGATGCACACCAGCATTTCTGGCGCTTGGATCGAGGCGACTATGGCTGGCTGTCACCTGCTGACAAGGTGTTGTACCGCGACTATCTGCCTCCGGACCTTACACCAATGCTTACGACACATCAGATTGATGCAAGCATTGTTGTGCAGGCGGCACCCACTGTTGATGAGAGCAGATTTCTCTTAAAACTCGCAGAAGCTTCAAACACCATAGCGGGCGTAGTGGGTTGGGTTGATATGACCTCTGCAGAAGCAGTAAACGACTTGGAAGCGCTTTCAGAACACACCGCTTTTCTAGGCATAAGGCCGATGATTCAAGACATCGAGGACAGGGATTGGATGCTCAGCGATGTTTTGCACCCATCTTTTAAGAAGCTGCAATCTCTGCAACTCACGTTCGATGCTTTGGTGACGCCGGTTCATTTGAGTTATCTGCTTGAGTTATTGCACCGCTATCCCGATATGAAAACAGTGATTGATCATGGCGCCAAGCCGGATATCGCAGCTGGCAACTTTCAGCTCTGGACTAAGGATATGAAACTGATCGCAGAACAGACGAACGCCTACTGCAAGGTATCCGGCTTGATTACTGAGGCTGGCCCAAAGTGGTGCGACGAAGATATCTATCCCGTTATGGACCAGCTCTACAACTGGTTTGGTCCGCGCAGACTGATCTGGGGCAGCGACTGGCCGGTGCTGAATCTTGCAGGTAATTACGATCGCTGGTGGCGCTGCATGAGCCATTGGCTCGAACAATTTCCACAGGAGGAGAGAGACCAGATCATGGGTACAAATGCTGCAGAGTTTTACCTTAGCACTCAGGAAAACCATCAATGACAAAGCGATTACAGGATAAAACAGCTTTGGTCACAGCGGCGGGACAGGGTATTGGCCGCGCAACCGCGGCAGCCTTTCATGCCAACGGCGCCTGCGTCATCGCAACGGATATCAACCCGGAACTGCTTGCAGCGCTGCAGAATGAATTTCCGGACATGCGTTGCGAGCAAATGGATGTAACCAGCAGCGTCGACATTTCCGCAGTTGCCTCGAAATATCCGGATATCGATATATTGTTCAACTGTGCAGGGTTCGTAGATCACGGCAGCTTGCTAGAAACAGAAGAAGACGCGCTGTCTCGCTCGTTCGATCTCAATGTGATTTCCATGTATCGCACTATCAAACAATGGCTACCCAACATGCTCTCAAAGGGGCGTGGGTCAATTGTCAATATGTCCTCGGTGGCTTCTTCAGTTAGCGGCGTACCTGATCGATTTATCTACGGCACAACCAAGGCAGCCGTGATTGGCTTAACTAGATCGATTGCCGCTGATTTTGTACAACATGGTGTGCGCTGCAATGCAATTTGCCCCGGTACCGTAGAAACCCCGTCTCTGCATGAGCGCATACAGCAATTCGACGACCCCGAAACTGCTCGTCAAAACTTCATCAGCAGACAGCCTATGGGGAGACTCGGTACGCCAGCAGAAATTGCTGCACTGGCAGTTTACCTCGCCAGCGACGAAGCCAGCTTCACAACAGGCACCACCCACGTCATCGACGGTGGATGGTCAAATTAGGTCAGCAAACAAAAGAGCGCCCGCATGAACAGGAGAGACGTACAATGAAACTGGTTAGATGTGGCGATCCCGGCAGAGAAAAACCAGGCGTCATCGCAGCGGACAATAGTCTGGTTGATTTAAGTTCCGTAATCAGCGACATCTCTGGCGAAACGCTTTCCGACAACAGCATCGCATTGATAAGCGCACTGGATCTCAATAGCTTGCCTCGTTTCGACGAAGGCACTCGTATTGGGCCCTGCGTGGCTAACGTAGGCAAGTTCATCTGCATCGGTCTTAACTATTCTGACCATGCCAGAGAAACCGGGGTTGAGCCGCCTGCAGAACCTGTGGTCTTCATGAAAGCCACCAGCGCAATTTGTGGGCCCTACGACGACATCATTATTCCTCGAAATTCGGAAAAAACCGATTGGGAAGTGGAACTCGGCGTTGTTATCGGCCTAGAAGCACGCCATGTGCGACCTGAATCTGCATATCAGCACGTCGCAGGATATACGGTCATCAACGATCTTTCTGAACGCGCGTTCCAACTGGAGGGAACCGGCCAGTGGGTGAAAGGAAAGAGCGCAGATACCTTTGGGCCAATTGGACCGTGGCTGGTAACCCGGGACGAAATATCCGACCCGCACAATCTGGCCATATGGTTAGACGTGGACGGCCATAGATATCAGGACGGTTCAACCAACACCATGATTTTTCAGGTGCCCTATCTCATCAGCTATCTATCACAATTCATGAGTCTGCAACCTGGTGACATTATTTCAACCGGTACACCGCCAGGCGTTGGGCTGGGTCAGAAACCCGAGCCGATTTACCTGAAACCTGCTCAAACAATTCGCTTGGGCATTGAATCTCTCGGCACCCAGGAACAGCGAACCGTGGCTTGGCAGGAACATGTGCAACATTAAGGAGCAAGTAGATGAACTGGTTTAAAGATGCAGGCCTTGGGTTGTTTGTGCACTGGGGTCACTACGCACACGCTGGTTGGGAGGCCTCATGGCCATTGGTTGGCGGTATCTTTTCACTGCCCCGCGGCCAGGTTTTGGACGTAGATGTTTATCACACCAATGCAGCAAAATTCTGCCCGGAACCAAACTCTCCGGAAAAATGGGTCTCCGCTGCAGCAGCGGCTGGCGCACGCTATGCGATATTGACAACCAGACATCACGACGGCTTCAGCATGTGGCCAACATCCTGCTCAGACTACTCCATTCGTATGGGTGGGTATCAGGGCGACCCTGTTGGGGAGTTTGTCGAAGCGTGTCGAAAATACAACATGCGCGTGGGGTTCTACTATTCTCTGCCAGACTGGAAACATCCAGACTATCCAGCATTCACAGAAGCGCATAAACCTTATAAATTTGGTCAATATCCCGCGGCGACCAACGAGCAATGGCAGCGATACATCATCTACCTGAAAACACAGCTAACGGAACTGCTAAGCAACTATGGTGAAATTGATATCATCTGGTTTGATGGCGGCTGGGAACACAGCCAGGAAGACTGGCATTGCGGCGAACTTGAGCAGTTGATTCACGATTTACAGCCGAACATCCTTATCAACGATCGGCTACCCGGATACGGCGACTATGCAACCCCGGAGCAGTTTATCCCACCCACACCACCTGAAGGTGAATGGGAAACCTGCCTAACGATGAACGATAGCTGGGGATTTAACTGCGAAGACACTAACTACAAATCGTCCACCGACTTGATTCAAACCCTGTGCGAAGTGCGAGGGCGTGGCGGAAACCTGCTGCTGAACGTAGGCCCGGACGGCCAGGGGGACCTCAGGAAAGAACAGGCAGATATCTGGAGAGACATAACTTTATGGACCCAGGACAACGGCGATAGTATTTTCGGCACCCGCCCTGGCCTGCAACCCTGGCAGTTTTACGGCCCAAGCACACGCAACAACAAAACCCTCTATCTACATCTGCTGATGCACCCAGTGTGTCCGGTGACGGTTAGAGGTGTGCCGGTTAAACAAGTTAAATCTATCAGACATCTAGCAACGGGCAACGACTTACCCTTCGAAACCCATATTGCTATTATGGACATGATTTCAGCGACCGATCCGCTCGGTGATCTGAAAATCACCATACCCGAACGCTGCCTGAGTGAACACGTCACGACCATCGCAGTAGAATTTGATACGGATTTTTAGGTCGTCTGGATTACGGTCATTTATTCGTCTGCACCTCCAGGAGAACTCAGATTGGTAACCGCCGTAAAAAAACCTGAATACAAAGCGCCTGCCCTGGAAAAAGGCCTGGAGATTATAGAGTTTCTGTCTTCGGTTGATGAGCCCCTCAACATGGCCGCCATTGCTAAGGCGCTCGATCGATCCAAACATGAAATTTATCGCATGCTGCACGTGCTTGAAAACAAAGGGTATATCGAAAGATCACTGGATGAGCGCTTTTCGGTGACCAACAAACTATTTGAGCTGGGTATGCGCAACCCTCCAATCAGGAATCTGTACGACGTCGCCCTACCCCTTATGCATGAGCTTACACATGCACTGCAGCAATCCTGCCAATTGGTCGTCCGAACAGGCACACAAATGGTTGTTGTGGCAAGGCTGGAAAGTCCTGGGGATGTTGGGCTTTCACTCAAAATTGGCTATAGAAGACATATTATGCAATCCACATCTGGGCGTATCCTCTATGCCTTCCAGCCGGAACAGGTTAGAACAGCCCTGTTCAACGAGTTACTTTCCACTGTGCCCGACGGTGTTGATATCGAGCAATTTGCCGCGGATGCTGATCTTGCTCGCAGAGAAGGTTGCATCGCCCACGAGAGTGATTTCGTTGATGGCGTGGTAGATATCGGCGCACCTATTTTTGATGCCACACACCCGGGCGCTATCGCCAGCCTTACCGTGCCGTTCATGAAACTCAAAAATTCGATGATCAACATTGAAGCTGCCATCGAAAAGGTCAAAGCCACTGCGGGCACCATCTCAGCCAAATTGCAGGTTGGTATCTAGCAACCAAAGGAGCAACACATGATCACCGACACAGATGTGGATTTTTTCCTTCTCAATGGATTTGTGAGCCTGCCAAGCCTCATCGATGATGAGACCTTGCAGGAACTGCGACGTGCTTACGATCAAGTTCTAACTAGTAGCGACAATGGCGAGGCCAGCGATCGGTACCTCGGCGGTAAAACGCGCCAGATTGTGTTCCCGGAGAAGGCCCATCCACTTTTTGCAGCTAACAAGGCACTTGAAACGGGTAAGCAAATAGCCGCTCGTTTAAGAGACTGGGAGGAACCTGCTTTTTTCTACTCTCAGTTGCTATACAAACCACCCGGCCACCCGCACGAAACACCCTGGCATCAGGATGATGCCTACGGGGCCATGCCGTTTACACCTGCAGGCACACCGTTAGGGCACGCGAGCTTGCAATTCTGGTTAGCCATCGATGATGCCGACGAAGACAATGGGTGTATGCACTTTCACCCATCACCAAAGCACGACACTCTTCTTCCGCATTGCGTCACGGATGGCGATCCGGAAGATGAAAATCGCCTGCTGGGTTTGATTGATCCAGGATTGCATATCGATAACAGTAAGGTCGTCCCCTGTCCGATCAAAGCGGGCGGCGCGACGATACACGATTCTGGGACACTGCACTTCACAACTGCCAATCACTCGGATCGACCACGACGAGCCTATATTTTCAATTTTGCAGACCCAGACATGGTCAAACGTTATAAAGCCTCAACCAGCTGAGGTCGATCTGTACGTACAAACTATGTGACGAAAAAGTCGTTTTGGCAGTTTCCGCAACCGCGATGGCTTCCAACTAAGCGCCCACGAAGAATCACTTCAGCCGAAACTACCAGTTACCACGGTTTTCTTTCATGTTTTCCGTTTAGCAATCCATCCATCCCTTGAGTGCTGTACTTAAAGCCTCTAGTATTAATGAGAATGATTCTCATTACGATAAAGACATGAATTCCATACAACGGTTCCTGGATCACGAACACGCCCGGTCAAATTTACCGGAACTCCCTCTGCATAAAAATTCGTGTACACCGAATGCGAGATATTTCCTTATCCTCAGCCCAGCGCCCGCGCTAGTGATTTACGATCAAGAAGCGGGCGTTGAAATGAAACGCTGGGGAGCAGATATTTTGCGTTACCTTATTTCAACTGGGGCACTACCGCGGCAATATCATCGACTTGGCACTTATCCCTGCAACAAGGACCTGGTTTGGCACTTACTGCTCGCGGCAACCGCTGCGCAAATGTCCCTGCAACAGATAAACAATTACCCTGCAGAACCTACAGGAACAACGATGACAACAATAAAAACTATTGAACAGCTGCGCGAAATTGTGGGAGAGCCCCATCCCGAACTGGGTGAAAAAAACATCGACCACATCGACGACTTCGCTGCGGCGTTTATCGCCGATAGCCCGTTTATCGTGCTTTCCACAGCAGACGCCGAAGGACGTGTTGATGCCTCGCCTAAAGGCGACAGCCCGGGGTTTGTCTGGGTTGAGGACAACAAAACAATTGTTATCCCCGATCGACCCGGCAACAAGCTGGCTTACGGCCACCAGAACATTATCGCCAACCCGAATGTCGGCGTTTTGTTTGTGATTCCGCAAACCAACGAAACGTTGCGCGTGAACGGCCGCGCAGAATTAACCTCTGATGAGTCTGTGTTAGAAAAACTGGCGGCTCGCGGCAAGCCCGCTGTGCTGGCTATCCGAGTCACCGTCGAGGAATGTTTCTTTCATTGCGGGAAGGCGTTCATACGCTCAGAGCTGTGGAACCCTGACCAATGGAAAGGACGTCATCGTGTTTCGTTTGGCGAAATGTACGCACAGCGCAAATCCCTCGACAACACAGTTGCCGAGGCGATTGATGACTCTATCGACCAGGACTACCGGCTGAATTTGTAGTTCTTGGATCTCGGCGAACCATCGCTCTCAAAATTGATCAGCGAACGCGGTTAACTCTTGCGCGACCCAAAGCCGCACGG